CCTCCAGGCAAACCTTTTTTATTTCCTTCTACCAGTCACCCTCAGTTCCTCTTGGTTCCAGCTAGTAGCTTTAAAGATTGCTGTGCACATGCTTGTCTCTGGTGCAAGGGAGAGCTGGGTGGAGTAGGCACCATTAGCAAGGTTGCAGGTGAGGCTAGAGGGGCTTACAGGCAGAGGTGCTATTCACAGGATCTTCAATAGCCTGGAGGAATGAGCTGACAGAAACATTATGATGGAAGGGCAGATGTCAGTCCTGTGTCTGAGGCAGCATATCCCTGTGTGACACTGTGAGCTAGAGAGCAGCTGTGCAGGCAACACCCTGAGAAGAGGTGGAAAGAACCATCTTCAGTCTAAAGAAAAGAAAGAGATGCCAGGCATCTTACTGGTGTCTCAGCTACCTTCCAGGAGGTAAAAAGGGTAAACCCAGGTTCTTTGTACTCTCAGTACAGGGACAGGATAACAGGCAATGAACAGAAGTTGCAGCAGGGGTGATTCTGCTCAAGGTCACGACGAAGTTAGCCTTGCTTTGAAGTCAAGGGCTTAGGGTAGACCAGAGTTTCCTTCCAACCTAAATTATTCAATGATAGGAAGGGTCTTTATGAGTTTTAGATCATTTTATCTGAAAAATTGTAGTGGAAGCTCACAGGCTGCGAATTCCTTTTGTGTAGTCAGTGACTTCTGCAGTTGAGACTGCTGTTTAAGAGGGGTTGGTCTTGTTCATGAAACCCAGAAAAATTGCAGCTTGTGTTGCTATGACTAAATAAAACTGCCTTCTTAACACAGTTCACACTCCTTTTAGCACTTTGGATTAATTATATGGCTGTTATCGTAATGGAAGCAGCCAGAGTAGGTAATTGAAGACATCTTGAAATAAATGAGATAAATGGTAGCAGAAGCAGCATCAGAGGAAAACCATTTTTAAAACCATTTTTAAAATCATAGATTGGTTTGTATTGGAAGGCACCTTAAAGATCATCTAGTTCCAACTCCCCTGCCATGGACAGGGACACCTTCCACTTAAGCAGGTTACTCAAAGCCCCATCCAACCTGGCTTTGAACACTTCCAGGCATCCAACTGTTAAACTCCCCCAAATACAATGAATTTTACTGTATATTTTTATTGACCACGCTGTATTTTAGAAAGGCAAACCCCCTATTCTTTATTTCTTAGAATGAGTTCACTCTATTCTTACATAATTTTTGTTGAATTTAAGGGAACCATGCTAAATTATTTTTAACTAAACAGTTAATGCCTAAAGTATTTTTAGGACGAATCATTAACCCAGGTCACCAAAAATCTGTGCTGCAGAACTTCAGTTTTCCATCACAGATTTGGTGCCTTCACAATTTTTTTTAGTACCAAAGTTATTTTCAAAGTGGAAATATTTTTTATTTAATCCTTGTAATAATGTTTCTGATTCCCGTAGTTGGTAAAAAACACAATAAGTTATCTACTGTTATTTCAAGAAGCACAGGTCTGCAGATCCTCATTTAATAAAAGCTAGAAATATGCAGAAAGCTATGTATCAGGTGTGCTGTAAAATATTTAAATCATGGATTTCAGGAGATGTAGGAGTTGCTGACAGTTTCACTAGAATGCTTTTCGTAACCACCACTACTGTAATTAATTTTCAATTTCTCAAGGTACTTCATTGTTTTAGATGTTCTTAAATCCAAGATATAGTCAAATATTAATTATATTCCTGTCTCTGTCCCTGTTTATTTTAACCACAAACACAAAGAATATTTCACAGCTGGTAATTCAACTAAATTCCGTGTAGCTCTGAATATCAAGGTCAGTTCATGCCCTGCTTCTCTCTCCTCTCTCTTTCTTTTTTGCTCACATAAGAAACAATCAGTAAGGATCTGAGACTTAGTACAGTGATGGGAGTATCACAGATTCACTGGGTTTTATTTTACATTTGCTGGCTTTAATAATTAAGGGGAATATTATTGTGGTGTGGTTTAAAGGCTTTAAAACCCTCATTTATCTCATATCCAGAAACATAACCATCATCATAAATATATTACTGTTGATAGAATTTATAGTTCTTTCTTATAATACTTTTGGCCCTTGAGACTAATTAATCAAGTCTGAAATGCATGTGCTTAATTTTGGTGGCAAGAGTGATTCGAAAAATATAATTAGCCACTTTGTTGAAGTGTGCGTGTTATGGTTCAGTGACTAATTTTCTGGTCAATGAATCACAACCTTATGTCTCTTTCTCATATTTAAACACTTCAGATTATGATAGTTCTTGTATTTAAAGCCATTCTATGCATAAAGATCTAATTCAGGTTTAGAGTTTTAATAACTGCCTTTGCTTCATGGTTTTCTAAGAGAGTAATATTTATTCATCTGTCTTTAAATTTAAACTTTATGGCTTATCTTGGTTACAAGTTAATTATATGCATCATGGTATTCTAAAGGTCATGGAATGTAACATGACAATAGGTTTAGTTTACTTGGTAAAAGCTGTAATTGCTGGCAACATAGTATTTATTCCATTTTACAAATTTACAGTTCTTTATCTAGAACTGACATCAATCATAGATTGAATGCTTCTAAAAATTTATTTTCAGACACTTTGGAAATGTATTACTCTAAAGCAGTAAATCGTATGAAGATAAAACATTCCTTATGTATTTCTGTTTTGGAAAACGTTTGCTTTAAACTTTGTCATTGCTTGGAGGCTTTTATTAATGTATCATATAACAGCTTCATGTATCACTGAGGAACTTCATTTTGACATGTGATTCCAGCCTTGAAAATCACATCACTGTGAACTCTTAAGTGGCTTTGGCATGAGAAGAAAAATTCAATTAATAAGGTTTTTACATCCTACCTAAATTTGTCTGTATGAAAAAATAATTACATTACAGTTGAATGTGTCAAAACCACTCCTGAATAATCGGGAGTTACCAGACTTGAGATGCCTTACGTATTGTCTGTTCGAAGTTTTCAGTGTACAAAAATTATTATATGAGGTATTTAGAGTCCCTTTCCAAGGGAGGGGTATTATCAGGCAGAGGGCCGGAGGGAATACAATATTTGCATCACTTTGCGTGGTTCCCTAATTTGCCACATTGGTGATCTCCCTTGTGTTTACAAACGGGGTGCTCTCTCTACTATGTGTAAGTAATATACTCATGCGAAATGTTGCTTAAAATGTTTGTTTAAAATAGAAGTTATTTTTTTCCCTTTTTACTTTTAATTTGTTTTTACATTAGAGAAGGCAAACACATAGCAAATATGGGTTAAATCATTTTTACCTTATGTAGTAATACCCAAAGTTCATTGTTCCTCCCAGTTGAGTCTGAATACAACTGGTTTAATCTTTGTAATACTTGGCTCTAAAATTAAAAATCAGAGGAAACAGGATCTGTCTATGAGTCAGTATGCAGAACAGATGAAGTGTAAGGGCCATGAAGAAACATTCTTTTTCTTTCAGCCCAACATCTTAATCATTACTGAGAACTAACGTCATATTTTGTAATAATGGGATATGAGTGCCAAATTGTGATCTGTTTTGATAAGGATTAAAATGCTGATGTTATTGTCTTGATTTTGTTCCAGTTTCTGCTGTATTTTCTATTAATGTTTTTAAACTAACGCACTTTCTTGACAATTATTTTCAGAGCACCTTGTGTCATTATTTCCAAGGTAGTCACTCATTCTCACCTTTCTTATCCTTTTGGAAGAAAGTACTGACTCGGATGTTTTGATGATGTTGAAATAATCTCCAAATTGTAGTCCTTTCTGTATGCCTGACTTCATAGAGTCTGAAAAATTGTTTGGCTTAGGAAATGGACCCAGGGTCATCCATTCATGAGAAGCTGGATGACAAATCCCAAGGGCTTTTAACAGTGATAGGCAGTACTAATGAAAAGAATTTTCATACATGGGATATAATGCACATTTTGGCCTCTCCTCCAAATAATAAATTAATCATTTGAGCCAAATGTTGTGGAAACAAGTAATTTACCATATGCAGTATCTCAGTGTCACCTTATTGTGCTTTTCAGCTCCACATAATACTTCTTTCATCTGTAATTACCCAGTTGTCTTTCTAGCCTGCTAAGAAAATATTCCTTCAGCTTGACATCTTTAAAGTGTGCTTTTATTCAGTTGTTTATAGTGTGTTGGTTCTGTGTAATGGGTGTTTATCATTAGTTCTATAGATAGCAATATATCTAATTATGGTTATGCCGCTGTGCTGAAAAAAAAAGTTACAGTCCAAACCAATTCTGAGTTCCAGTTGCAGAAAGCAGGATTAGGAAGCAGTTTTGTAAGTCTCAACCAAGAAAGAGGCACTTCCCTTGTCTTTTGTTAGGCCAAAGAAATGTGCTCCCAATGTTCAGCAGTAGCTAACAGTGGAGAAAAACATTCCTTAGCAACAGAAGTTCATGAAATAAAAGAAAAATTTAAATGCGGCTTAAAATTATGGAAGTAGCATCTGTCAGATTTAAAAATGTGAAAATAGGTTCTCTTTTATAAACAGGAGGAAGACAAATATAAAAGCTCAGAAATAGAAGATAAATTCTAAGTCAAGGTGGAAAAGTTACTCTGGTGTACGTACCTTTCACTATAAGCTGGCAGAAGTGCGCCTTGTGCTGTTACTGCGCATCTCTAAGAGTCTGGTCTAATGCAACCTTCTGGGAAATACATGGCTCTAAAGGGAATGGAAGTGATGATACTTTTTTAAAAAAAATTGTTCTGCTCTAGGTCTGTGTCTGTAACTATTGAAGTTTGGAGTGAAGGCTTTAGTGGTCGCTTCTGTTTTCCCCTTTCTGTCATGTGGCCAGACCCGTCATGGTCTGATCACTCCTAGTCCTGCACGCAGTGCCCTTCTGACAAATATCATCCATAGAACATATTTGAAACAATCACAGCTACATATCTTTGGAGAAAAAGGCTACCCTCTGTACTAGACACAGCTAAAATGGTAGAACTTTGGTAAACAATAGGAGTAATATTTTTTCACTAATTTTTTGTATAGGTTTGTAATTGGACGAGAAAAACCGGGACAAGTGAGTGAGGTTGCGCAGCTGATTAGCCAAACTCTAGAACAAGAACGCCGCCAGAGAGAGCTGCTGGAGCAGCATTATGCACAGTATGATGCAGATGATGATGAGGTAACAGAATGACTAGCGTTTCACTATTTGGTGTTTTTTAATGTTCCATTTTCTATTCCTAATTCCTTCTTTTTAATTATCGCTTAGAGGTCAGCTTCTGGACCTCTCCATTACCTTTGCTGCTGATTTTCACAGATCGATGATGAATCTTATTTGAAGAACAAAGTTACAGGAAAGCTTTTCACCATGGATTTAATGTTTTGTTCCAGAAGAGCATGTAACAAATTGGTTGATGCTTCTCTAATCACTGCTCTTCCTCTGAAAGCATATACCTTTCTGAAATAAGGGAATAAAGTTTGTTTAGTTGTGCACTCAAACATTAGATTTTTGTGAAAACTGGTAGAAGTTACCTTCTGACTTTTAGAGGGGTTGAGGAAGTTTTAGACCTTTTTTTTGTTTTTCTGGAAGAGCTGATGTTCTTAATTCAGAAAGTTTTCTGAAAATTCTGGCTAAGACCCCTCCTTCCACACACTGTTTTTTGTTTCTATTTGAACAGATATTCCACAGGATAGAGAATTAATCTAGCTTGTCCGAAGTCTAGATTCATGTTCACAATTAGTACCTGATGTCCCAATACAGTGGTTTTGTAACTAACAACTTATGCAGTAGATTTTCCATAGTTTCTTTGCATTCTCTTAAAATTCCTAATATGCTAAATACCAAGATACTTGGAAAGATTAGTAAGAGAGCTTTTTCAGAGACTACTGTCTGTGTTACTTCCTAAATTAGCTGTTGGGTTAAGGTAAAAGGCAGTTGTTGCAACAAACTGCTTCCATATAGCCTAAGCATACTGCCATCATTTCATATCATCTTGAATAATATTATTTGAAATGTCAGATTCCACGTACTAGTGTGTTTTTGTCCTGGGCCAGATTTTTTATTATATTTGTGTAAGGAAACCATAGAGAAGGGGAAATGCATGCCATGCATTTATTTCAGTTTAGTTTTTCTTTTTAGAAAAGAAATACTCTTGATATAAAATCAGGATACACTTGGATTTTGAAACATGCTGTTAAACTAGCAATAGGTCAGAACAATCAGAAGTGTCCCAACAGACTAAGTAAAAATCCTGTCTAGCCCCAGTAATGCTTTCACTTACTTTAATTTCCACTGATATTAAAAATATTTTAGTATGTTTTAAAATTAATCATGTCACAGGGACATATTTAACTCTTCTAGATAAAACTGTACTCGTCAATATACATACATATGTATATGTGCCTGTGTGAGGCCACAATGGCTGGAAAATCCATATCCTCTCTGTTCACTCCTCAAACTACAGAAACATGCAAGTCTTCTAACTTCTATTTAGTCTAGAATTAAATTCAAGATAAGTTTCTTGAAGCAGCTCTATTATCTCCTCAAAAATAAAATGGAGACAACTAGCCTTTGGAGTAAGACTTACCATAACTCATCACAGCGTGCTAGAGATGTCAGGGTTCGAAGACCTGTGATACCATCTTATTGTGAACATAGTCTGATAGCTTTCATATTGGCAAGAGAGGTGTGTCCCAAGTGCCTGATGATCAGATCTTTCTTGGTTTGCGGGTGTGGGGCTGAAGGCAGACCTGTGTGAGTAATTGATGTGTCACACCTTTTATATATAGGATGCATCCACCTGTAAAAAAACTGAAAGGTTTGTGTTTCTTACCTTCATGCACCATACAGGTGGTGTTACTCAAGATCAGGCAAAAAAACCCTGTAGTTAAAACCATATAGGTCAATACTGATCCTGGAAGTACTTCAGCCTTCGATAGGGATTGTTGCTGTGAGGATGCTTATGGTGACACTGTCATACTGATGACCACGCAAGTGTTTCTCAGTACAATAGTGAAAGAGGACAAGGATGAGTAGGCATGAGTAGGTCTCAGGTACCTTTTGTGATGTGTCTTGTTGTCCTTCAGTTCAGTGGTTATGAACTCTCAAGTCCTGTTCACTGCATACATTTTTAACACGAAAATACTAGATGCAGAAAGTGTTTTCTACTGGTAGAGTCTTTGCATCATAGAGAGTTTTTCCCTGATTTTTTTCTAATTAAGAGAGTTAAAGGTATCTTCTCTTATTGTAGCACTACACTGAGGATGATGACCATCTCTGTGACCGTGACATGTGCTTTTTGAGCGTTAATGTTTGCAGTGCAAAATGACTTTTGTGCAGTATATGAGGAAAGGAGGAAAAAGAAAGGAAAAGACATCTAGCAGGGGAGATCCAAATGATCTCATCAATGATTACTTTTGGAAGAAGGAATTAAGTCTGAGAACAAATCAAGTACTTGAGTTCTTAAAAACTGCATTGGGATCATTGAAGGTTGTATCCTTTTCCTACTAGATGCCATATATATATTTGAGATTATATATTTGGGAGGCGGTGGTAAACATTATCAGAATAGCTGCTGGGGTTTAGTTACTAAGGTATGCAATGCAGTGTGTTTCCTTTCTTAATTAAGAGACTTACCAGAAATAGATTTTACTGGAAACCTGCAGTAATCCTGAATATTATTATTTTTTTTAATCACCTGACTATGCCATCCAAGTGAACTCATGCAACTTGTACCGTTCCCACACAACTGACATGAAGTTAGCTATGATCTAATGCACGTTAGCCACAGTTCAAAGATATTTTTGGTCATCACAGGCACTTCTGCTCCATTTACTGTCAAATGTGAGTATTACTACTTTGAGCTTACCTTGCTCTCTGAGGACAAATATGGCTGGGTTTATGTTGCTCTATGCGACACCACTCCCAGCACTGCATTCTTTGTCTCTGGTAAGGAGGGCTTCTTTTGGGCAAGAAAATTTCAGTTTACACTGTCTGAATGAATGTTTACAAATGTACAAAAAACCCTACCCTTTTGAGTCCATTTCATCAAATTGTGATTCTGACTGCATGGAGTTCAGGAGTATTTGGATTGCCAGTGTAAGAAGTTTTGCATTGAGGTGGCACGGAATTATACAGGATTTGCTCAGTCCTAGAGCTGTCAAACCAACCTATTAATTTTCATACAGGCCTTAAAATATGGTAAATGGATCTCCAGGTACAGTGCTGCATAAATAAACAAGAAAATTATTTTTATTCAGCCCTCCTTTGAGGCTGCCAAATGCTGAGGCTCAGAGACTTTACTACAAGGACAGCAATAACCTATCTGTTTTCCGGAGCAGGAAATAAGTGATCGGTGTTTGAGTCCTGGAGTCACTGCACATGACTCTGCTAGAGCTGGTCAAATCACAGGAAGAGAGTATGTGTCAGGCATGTACAAGTTCTGGTGTTTTATCTTGCTGTGCCACCAGCTGGCTGAATTTGCTCTGTTTTGAAACTGCTGACAGTCTTCGTAGCCCAAGGAGCATCTAGGTATTTTAGAATAATCCAAGTTCCTTAAAAAAAGCAGCATTTTGCGATAGTTTTGGTTTTTTGCCAGCCAGTCGACTTGAGTTAGATACTAAATTTAGAGACACATGTTAGCCTGCTGTAACTTCTCATTCCATTGCCTTGCAGAAGTGTTACATGACAGTCATTTTTCGGCAAAGATTCACACTAATAGGCATAACGTTTCTAAAATATATATCATTTACTGTATAAATAAGACTGAAGAAAACATAACTTACTGTATAAATGCCCTGGATTCCTGCATTTGAGAACCTGCTGTTACCATGGGCTGCAGGTTGTCACAGGATTGTAGGATGCTTTCAGATGCTGCTTCATTAAAGTTTTTGCATGGAAACTCAAAAACCTTGTGCAGAACTGATGAACACTAAAAGAAAAGTGATGCTCACAATGGGATCTGTGCCAAGACTAGCAGGATAAATGTGCAGTAGCTTACAATTTGTTGTTAAGCTCCCATGAACCAGTAGTACCAGTTATTTCTTGACTATGATGTATGGTAGGCACCGTTGGCATTTCTTGATGAGTCTGTGCTAACTGCTATAAAGTTGGGAGAGTATGTTGCCTCTAGATAGCCTGTTGCAGAGTTTATTCATCACTAGTTTGTCTAGCTTCCTAAAGTCCCATATCCTTTTGATTTGTTGTATCCTGTCAGAAAATAAAGCTCAAAGGCTTTGAAGTAGGCACTGTCTTTGTATTTCCTACTTAGTGTGCTAAGTATGACCTGAATCTGTATCCTTGACTAAACCCTTTTGAATTCCTTGTGTTAACACAGTGTTCTGTGCACGTGAGTCAAATTCTGACATTTCTTGGAATTTTAATTTGAACTTGGCATAATCTTCTTCATATTCTGCAGTGAGCGACAAAATTACATAGAGCAGATGACCTGTTCCCTTGAAGGCTGCATATGGTGATGCAGAATGTGAAATTAATAAGATATTGCAGAATTCTGTTCACTGGCCACGGACAAGTAGTTTAATGCAAGTGGTGTTTGAATATATTTTAATATCATTAATAGTCATATGAATATTTTTTTCTTTTTAAATTTTCATTCATCAGGACATTCTGAGAGCAAAGCAACATTGGAACCATTGAAGCAAATCTTGACACATGCAGAAAGAAAAATGTTGCAGTGTGCTTGAATGTTTAATACCCAAAGAATACATTTGCTAAACCAGATCTTTCAGAGAGTACGTTTTTTCCAACATCATTAATATGACACATTCCCATAAAAGCAATGATTAAACTATACCATTATATTTTTCTTCGCTCTTTTGGAAGCATTAAGTATGAGCCATCAAAAAAAGTCAAATTAAGAGATGGGCTTGAGTTATTTTTATAGTTCACTGATTGCGGGAGAGTTTCAGCAGGAACAAAGATGTAGCTTGATGCAGCCTTTGTTATGGTGATTTGAGGAAGGTCTGTCTGCATTATCCTGGCTGGTGCTGCTGCTCCTTCTTTCTGCTTGAGAGTGTTAGGCCCATTTCAGGAATTTACAAGGCAGTTAAACAATGCACCCAACACATTTTCCATGTACAAGTGGAAAATTGGAGCTCATATTGATAATTTCATGCTATTAGCTGTGATAGCATATAGCAAAATGGAATGGCTAGTATCAGAACCTATTGCTTTGGATGGTATAAACTTAAGCCCTAGGTGCTACTGAAATGAGGAATAGGGCTTTTGCATGGATGAATTTTGCTCAGCAGCACAGAATGAAGAGTCCGAGATTTTCCTTCAAGATCATGTAAGTTTTCATTGACTATTGAATAAAAAAATACTATTATTGTTGTCAACTAAGAAAACAAAATGTATTGCAGGAAACCTCAGGGAGTTACAATAACAACTGTTCTCTTATAGGACTTTGTTATTTTGAAGTAATACAAATTTTTTCTGTGCCTTGCTGCTTCTTGTAAAATACTGAATTTCCCATTCCAGCTTACTGACACTGTCTGAACAACCTTCTGGTAGTTTCACATGAAATAAAAGTCAGCAGAGATAGTTTTTTTCGGGGAAAGTATGTTCCATGTAGTTCACGATGTATATTTTCTTAATGTGCACATTGGTTCTTTTGAACCTGTAATTTGTTTTTCATGTGAGTGTAAGATGAAGTCCCTTCCTTTTGAAGATGAAAACAAAAGTCTCATTTATTTCTGTGTTCTGTAATGTGTGTGTGTCATCCTGTTGTAGTGTTTACCTGAGTGGTGCTTTGCTTTGACAAGTACTTTTTTCATTAATTGAAGCAAAAATGACTGTGCTCATTGACACTCATTATGTACAATTTGAAGCAAGATTTTCCTTTGTGTTCATTTTTAACTGCCTCATGTTCCTCTTCAAACACTCAGGCTCCTGAGGCTAGTAGAATATTGCCTGCTCTTGAATTTTTTCCCTATAATTTAGTCCTTCATGTGTGTTCATTTTTCTTTTTGTATTCAGTAATTCTTTTTAGTTTAAGTCTTTGGAGAAATCAGTTTTAACTAATTTCATTTGTTTTATTATTTTACCAAAATCGATAAATGTGATTTGGATTTTGCATTAAATTAATAATTCTTTAAAACACACATATAGCTGAGCTAGATCTGGGTTCCTTTATGTAAATAGGGCATGAGTTTGCTGGTTAACGATCCTGTTTCCGCCTCCTCTTTGCATGCTTCAGAGATTTCCTTGCTACTGCTAATGGACCTGCCAAGATGTTTTTTTGCACTTAGAAACTATAGTTGTGTATTACCTTAGAGATTTTTTAGGGATAATAACTGCAGAATCAATAGTCCATGGACTGTTAATATTTTGTCCACACAATAATTCATTTCACTGAAATTTCGCTCGGATTTTAAGAGTTAGTTGTTCTGCTTCTGGTTGCCCTGATAGTATGTAAAGGTAGTGTTATGCTCCTGAAAAAAACCAGGAGAGTTAGTAGTCAAATTTTCTGTTTAGAAGGAACTGCAGGTAGCCACAGGGAATAAAACAGAAACAGAAGTTACTACAGCTGTAGTGTGACAGAAGATTTTTGTGTGTGTGTATGATATCTAGACATACAGAATGCTAAATTTAATTTCAGGTGTTTTTTTGTTTAGTTGTAATCCTTACATGCCTGAAAACTCCAGTGAGATGGATTATGAAAACTCCAGTGAGATGGATTATGTCATTTTTTGCTTCTGTTTTAAGAAGCAAAACCAGCTGTTAACCTTTTTTGTTGAAGACTACTGTGATTCTTAGTCATATATTCTTAGTACATATGAAGTGTATAAAATAGGTGGATACTTTTTGTTTCATTGGAGAGTATGTTACTATTTACTGAAGTCGAGATAGTTCACCTGAAAAGTGCCTCACTTAACAGTGATGTTTAAATATGGATGGGTTGTGCCTGTTGGTGACTTACCTTCTTTTTGGTAGTTCTTTTACTGTCAGAAAATGTTACTGAATAATGTTATGCCTTCTATGTGTTCTGACTTACTTTATTTTTTAAAAACTTTAATGGTTTTTAAAAAAAAAAAAGAATATAGATTTTTCATGATCTTTAGAGGTCCATCCTAACTCAAACTATTCTATGATTCTTCCTGCTACTTCTCAAAGAAATGGTAATATTTTATTGTGGGTTTATCACCTTGTTGTTGGATGCATACATGTGTCTTTTCTGTCTGTGTGTACTTGTGCACCTGGATTTAACATGCTTCCATGCACTGCTTTTTAGTTGAGAGAGATTCACATAAGCCTTAACAAAAGTGGGAAACTAAACTAAGGTAGGATCTGGGATTTGAACTGGTTTTGAAAGTTGAATTTTTACCTGTTGTTTTGAGAAGTCCTTTTGTCAAAAAAATTTACAATAATAGACAATTTTAGCACTACAGGGAATATATTTCTGATAATAATATTATGTTTCTTCATATAAGGAACTGAAAGCTCATGAACAAAAACTTGAGTAGTTCTGTCAAAATTTTGGTGGTCTTACTGTATAAACGTAAGAAGGACTGCACCCCTTCCCCCACACCTCCTTTTCCATGTATTTATTGAGTCCCAAGCTTTATAAATCCAGATGTGGCCCTGGGGGAAGTGTGTGCTTTATAACATGTTTGCATAGTCATTTGCACAGCCAGCAGACTATTTGTGATCCATAGGCGATGCGCTCCAGCTTCCAGAGGGAGCCCCACGGAAGCAAGGTGGTACCACCTGCCTTAGATATGGGGAGAGATGAGCACAGGAATACGTGCAAGAGGTTGTCTAGGCAACTTGGGGTTCAATATTGCAAGCCTTTTCAATATTGTTTTGTTTTATTTTGTTTACTCTTGAGATACTGATTGCAGCTTATGATTTTTTAAAATTCTGTTTTATCAGCAAATTGTACGCAGGTCATGGTTTACCAGCTCAAGAAAAACCCACCTTTTCTGTTTAAAACTAGCTCAAAGCAGCTCCTTATTCAGGATGAGCTCTGATTTCAGTCTCTGAACTTGTCTGTAACACTCAGTTTCTTTTTCCTACTGTTGTCTTTCTGTGTGGATGTGACTTTTCTATCATTAATTTGTTTGTAAAGAACAAACCAATGAATTTTCAAATTCACCATGGAATATCACTGGAGAATTACTTCCTCCAGTTGACTTTACCAAAGACCAGTCAAGATCCTGTTGGTCCTATTGTTTTATTTCTGTTTGGAAAAGATTTCTTGTTAAATCTGAAATAAATTTGGAGGGTTCTTCCTATGGAAAAGAGGTCTCACTTGGAAAGTGAAAACATTGAAATACAGAACCAGTAATGCTTAAGAACTAAATTCTTATTGCTTAAGACACTATTTTCTCTCTTAATGTACCGAAATACTACTGTGGAGTTCTATTTTGTCTCGTAGAATTCATAAGTACTGGGGTTATAGTCAATGAAAAAGATAACCTTTATTGTATGCAGAATTCTGGCTTTGCACAGTAGCTTAATTATTCTTTGAACAGTCTCTGCCTAATTAGAGGATAACTGGAATTTCTTAAATGCTATGAAATTAAGACAGGGGAATATGCTACAGATGAAGAAGATGAAGACATGGGACCTGTCCTTCCAGGAGGTGACATGGCTATTGAAGTGTTCGATCTCCCTGAAAATGATGAAATGTTCTCCCCTAGTGATGTGGACACCAGCAAACTTGCTCATAAATTCAAAGAGGTACGTTACAGGTCAGAAAATACTCCTGAAATACCACACTGAATTACGTTTCTAGTCATCTCATTGCTCAGAGCTTGTTTTTTCTCTTCAAAACTAGAGTTGATTTCTAACTATTTGTATCCCAGTACTTCTGAACTACTCAAAATTTCTACTTAAAAGAAGTGGAACTATTCTTTGGAGTTGTTTTGGCATCAGCTTTAAGGTGACTGTTGTACTGGTGTGGATAAATTTATAAATTAACTTTTTAGTACAGAAGTTATTCTGTCTTGGCACTTAGTTTGACAAGGAAGAAAAAGTGCAAGTTAATTCATTACTAGCAGATTGCTGAGGTTTGGCGTGGGTGTTTTTTTGTTGGCTTTAGTTTATTGATTAGTTGGTTTGTTGATTTTGGTTTTTGTAAGATTCCAATAAAAGATGATCAGGAAACCAGACAGCAAATGTTAAATTTCAGTGAAAAGGGCATGTGGAGCTTATCCTATACCATTACATAGCAACACATCAATGTACAGTAGTGTCATATGTTTAGCCATGTGTTTAGAAAGATGCCATATTGGGGAAGCAGGCATATTTTAAGCTGGTGTTTTACCAAACTCAGTGGTTACAGAGTTTGTATAGCACCCACCTGTACTAAGTGTGGCTTAAATCAGTGTTGTTCATTGTGGTTATTGAATTCATTTAACTTCACATACCGAGAGACATTTCTTCTATATTTTAGTCTATGCTTCTGATGTGGCTTCTTTTTGAGCTTTCCTGAATTCTGATGCAAATAATGATATGAAACAATGGATTTATCTAAGCTCACAGTAATGGGTTGAGTGATGGCAATAAGGAACTTTTTTTTTTCAAATACAGGAAGATGGAAGAGTTGAAAGTAGCCAGAACCTCATAGGATATTTGAGTAGCAGAACCTGGGCCAACAAAGGAGTTTTAGAATACTGAGACTCCCCTTTTTGTCCTTCTTCAATTGTCCTCTCCTCTTCCCTCCACTCAAACCAGATATTTTAGGGTCTATAAATGTGTTGCTCCTACTCTCTAGTGAGAGTAATGTATGGAAAGTAAATGAGCAACCAGTTTTTCTCTTTTCTGCTGATACTCTCTTCAGCCTTTGTGTGCCTACTGTTATTCATCGTTATTTCCTGAAGTTTTTTTACTTTAGTTAAATTATAATTTTCTCACTCCATATTTCAAGTTCCAGGCTCTTAGACATATTAGTAGAACAGTTTACTTAATTTTCTAATACTTTGCATCACACATATTAATACTTTCTCAAAGTGGTGGGAAGATGCTACCATTCTACGCGTGCCAGTGGGGGTGCTGAGGCCGTGCAAACCGCAGATGCAGTGATGGGCAAGAGGACCTTTGAATACATTACAAGTAAAACTATACTTGAATAAACTATGTTTCCATAAACTCGGGCTATTGCCATACTTGAGCTTGTCCAAACTGATTTGAAGCTGTTTACAGACCTGTGTGATATAATGGCCTCAAAACGCTGATGTAGAGGAGACCAGATGAAGGTACTTTGGGATCCTCAAGTGTAAGTGCAGATGAGAGCCTGAGAAGAAAACATTAAATGCTCCTGCATAAGAGCGGACTCTTTCTCACTGGCCCACGCAGTTACGAGCATACCACTTCTGTTTCACTGGTTGTATTTAACAGTACACAGCTGTGTTTTGTTGGCTGATGCAGAGTGAGTACATGTATTTTTCTTGGTATTTGCCCTGAATTCTTTAAACACTAGAGGACTTGTTCACGATCATGCTGCACAAGCCCACACAGTGTTTTCTGGAATTGTATTTAAAGAACAACTGTTCTTTCTTGTTCTTACTCCAGAGATTAATGAAAGTATTAAACAAGTGGGTAGGACATAATCTTTAAGCATAATAGTTTGACCTAATTAGTTGAATTCAGTCCTTGCAATGAAAAATGTGCTCACATGTTCTGAGAGCCCTCCTATTTGAAATGCCTTGCTTTTTGGAATGAAAGAAGGGAGATGGGCATTGCTGGGTCAATCATTGTACTTCTGCAAATCTTGTTTTCCTGACTGTAGAACAGAAAAATGGAACTGATTTTTCTTAACTGCTTTGAGAGAGCCAGAAACTTTATTTTAGCCATGATGATTGAAGTGAGAGGTGTTCTGCAGGGAAAAGGGACATCTTATGTAAAAATTTGTTATTATATTTCATGTCTTAAATATATGAAAAATGGATTGTCATTATATGCAAAAAATATATAATGATTATGTAAAAATTGTCATGGAGATGATTAGATTCTATTGCATACCTTCCTTCCCAGTGCACATGTGATATTTTAACATTTGCTAGCCTTTCATCCCTTTCTGCACTTTACAGTCTTAGATTAATTCAATCCATTTTTGCTCTGAAAGTTATTTTTCATAAGAAGTTTTATTGTTTTGAAGAAAGTTAATCAGCTTTTCAAGACATATTTGGATAGGATATGTGCCAAAAATTACTCAAAATGTCCTTGTTAAAATGAAACCATCACAATTTTATATTGACTTAAAAGCCATAAAAATACAAAATAAGATGTGCCAAGAATTTGTCTGGCATTATATAGAACATGGAATAAAGATTCTGATCCCCTTTTAGTAAACTTTCTTAAAAAATTTTAACTATGGAGTCTAGATTTGCTTGCCAAACAGTTGACCTTCCCTGTTGTTTAGTCTAACCTATAAATGTGTTAGTATTTGTCATCTATTCTGCAAGAATAATTAGTTCTTTAAAAATGTACATATCGAGCTACACATTTGTCTGTTCAGGAGAAAAGTGTCTTTTTTCCTTCTGCCTCAGTGGGATCTGCTGTACCATGTACTGATTCAATGATCTGACTGGGTGCTCAGTATTTATTTTTTTAACTTAATAACAGAGAGCATAAAAATAACTGTTAGAACCATCTGTACCTGAGCAAATCGTCATTTATGCAACAACGTGGAGTTTACTTGTATGTAATAATAAGCTCTTTTAAGTGCTCCTTATGGATCTGTGGGGGTTTAGAAGAGATGGGAACGGACTATCAGCAGGTAGCCTAAGGGTTTGAGTCTTGGTTTTTTGATTTCATTATTAAGTCTACAAAGGGCAAAATTTAGCTCATCCATTCTTCCCCTAATTTTATCTCATCCGAGAAAAATGAGGTAGCAGAACTAAGTAGTGGACTGGACATTTTGTAAACACCGTAACATTTTTAGATGGTTCTTGAATAATTTTTCACTACTCACAGGAATGGAATGAGAAAAAGCAGTTCTCAGTCTCTGAAAATTGCAGATCAGAGGTTGGATTGAGTGAGCTCAAAAATTGCAAGTAACCTCTTTCAAATTCTAATTAAAGTATCTCCTTAGTTTCCTCTAATATGTATATTTACAAAAAGGTACATGTCCTTCTCACCTTCCTGGCCTACTGAGTGCAGTAGTTTCACTGGCCGCTTCTTGCTGTTAACACCAGCTCCAGGGCTGCTGAGTGCCCCGTTTCCAGCTGCACTGGTATCTCTCCATGCTGGACCAGTAGCCCTGGTCTCCTATGGCACTTCCTCAGGAACCCTGTTTGATCCACAGATTAGCTGCATGCTCCGGACAGGTTCGGTCTGGTCCCTTGCTCATTCCACCTACCAGTGTGCCTGGTGTGCTTCCACATCTTGCGTTTCTGCAAGCTGTCACAGTCAGTGCCTGCTTTCGTTTGAAATGAAATCTTACCTCTGCTCTCACTGAGCACGTGAAAAGTTGTAACACTTTTCAGTGCAAAGTAAAAAAGTAAGTAACATGATCTTGGGGACTAGAAGTGTTTACAGTCTCCTGTGGAGACAGCAACCCAGAAGTGAGTGTTGGAAAGAAGATTCCTAAAGTGTTCCTCAGGTGGAACTGGTTGAGTCAGTGTCTCCTTTATTCTGTCCAGTTAGATCAATGAAGGCTGATTAACAAACCAAACTGCTTCTGGGAATATGCATTTCCTGTGCCACAAGAAGGGCATTCAAGAGACTTCATAAAAAGGGAATTTCTAAATAAGCTCAACCTTTCTCAGAGATACTTGTACTGATCAGCTCTGTGGTAGCTCCTGTTATCTTAAAAATTATTCCTCTCTTCCAGAAGCATTTATCCTTTGAATTACTTGCACAATTTTACTAACAGCCTGGTCTTCGAGAACATAGCCTTTGCTTCACTGGAGATGATAGTTTCTAGTTCAGTACAATGCCCTCACATACTCCATTAGATCAACATAAACTATTCCCTAAAGCTTATGTTAATCTTGTAAGAGAAGTAACCCCCGTGTAAAACATGCTTTTCTGTAACTATTCCTTCTATTTATAAATAATGGACAAAGGCCTTGTCTTCACTGCAGTGCCATCTCAGGCTGTAATTCAGCTTTTGCCCTTGCCCTCAACTCCATACCCAACACACACAAGTCACTGATTCAGTTTAAGGATTTGGGGCCCGTGAGAAGTTTGTCCTTGCTGCCTGCTTTAAATAATAAGCAGCAGGGATTGGGATGCATGCCAGTGTTGGGTAAATGTGTATGATCATTTCCATTTGGATTAGGGTTATGCTGTTGAAGTTGTGGTTCAGTTCATACTTCCGAGCATTCTTGGAGCCTGTGAATAGGAGACCTTTGGGGTAAAATTAAAGATGTTTCGGAACATTGCATATTACACTCAAAATAATAACTATTCCCTTCACAGGATCAGACTATTGTAGGTTAGTACAAAAGAAATCCCCCATTAAGTGTGCAGGTGGATGCCAGGTCCTCCCCACCAACCCTTTCACTGTACAGATCCACTGTTGTTGTGGCGCTCTGTTTGGTGGTGGAACTACAATCTTTAGCGCGCTGCCGGGGCTCTTAATCTGCTTGCAATCATTTTGTGTGCTTGAATGCTGTTGCTGTTATTTACAGTTTCCCTGTGTAACTGCTCTCATTTGAGATTAGCTAGCTTGAGCAGAATAACTCCATCTAATCAGGGAGAAGTTTACCTTTTTTTCTTGCATGAAATAAATGTGTGGAATCTTCCCTCAAGGTTTTCCTGAGTTCTTGAGTTGTTAAATCACTTATTTCCGTATTTGCTTTTTTGTAACATGCCTGCTTTAATCAATGCAGTGGGACTTTCTGACAGCACTGGGACGTATTTCACATTCATATCAGAGGAGAGCAAAGCCCAGCAGGATAATATCTGTTTTTTTTAAAGCATAAGACATTTCATTTTGCTAAACAGATTGGATGTTCTGATTTGAAATTATGAGTGGTTAAACGGCATCCTATCTTTAATTAGGTTGCACAGACTGAGTCATTTTGCAAGCTAGACATTTTAATTTACAATCTACTGCACTGCAGCACTCTTCAGGGCCTTCTGCTATGTAATAAGGTATTCAACTTGCAGCACAGGCTTTAAAAATACCGGAGTACTCTGTGACTTCACTTGTTTATTTTATATTTTCAATTCTAGTTGCAAATCAAACATGCAGTTACAGAAGCTGAAATTCAGAAGCTGAAGACAAAGGTAAGAATCAATATATGGTTAATACATATAATATAGTTTTCTTCATACAAAATCAAATCTGAAGACATGTATGTGGGTGGAGAAGTCAACATCCCTATAGAAGGCTGATTAAGAAGCACAGTGGCTCAGCTAAATCTTGTCTTGGTGTATATTCTATATTCAAAGTTTCAAGTAAAATCTTAAGTGCTGCTGTTAAGAGAAAATTCCAACTTTTGTAGCTTCAATTAAACGTACATTTTAAGGGGTATCATAATGACTAAACAGCAGATTTCTAGTGTTAAAATTCTAATGCATTTTCTCAGGTTTTAAAATTGTATTTGGATTGAATATTCAAGTCCAAGTTAGTAGGTTTTTTATTTACCAGTGATGTTAAAGTATCCTGTTTATGCTACTTTGCTTTTTTTGACATTTTAAAAAAAAACTGATCTGTTTAAATGTATTTAATAGAAATTATTTTTTATATACAGAAGAAAAAGTGTTGTTATATCTTGTTGCAGTTCTCTTCAAAAGATACTCTAGAAAAGAAAAATATTACCAGTTTAAAAGAAAACATATCATAATCAGTTGCTAGTTATTAGATTGAATTTGCTATAGCAATAAAAATAAATTGGGGTTTTTTGTACTAGGGTAACCTTTATGAGAACTCAGCTAATAATTCAGTTGTTCAGTAATACCAGGTTTTATAATGACATCCTGCTCTTTGAGTCTGAATACATTATAAGGGAAATAAAAACAAGATAAAGATAAAATTGAACTTCAGAAAAAGATTTTAGATTATTATTTCTTCTTAGCAGCATTTGCACTCACCATGTATTTTACATGGTGTTTATCAAATCTGCATAAATTATTGTTAAAAACAAATTTAAAGTGCAACTGTTTTCTGTAAGGACAATTTCTGTTGTAGTGTGTCAGTTCAGAAGGTCAGAAATCTTTTCTTCCTCTGCTTTCCAGTTCCAATCTAGCAATTGGAGCCACAAGGTCGATCCCTTGGGATTGTGCCGAGCCCCATTGACTTGATAACAACAATGTGTGGGTGTAAATATTCATCTATGCAAATTCATTTGCAAGATTAGGGTTAATGTGCCTTTTTGTGTTGGATCTCTTTACCTTTATTGTGTTTTCAATAGAGCTGAAGAAATTGTGACTAGTTTAAGTATATTGCTAATAAAACTGCAAACAGATTAATTTTTTTGTGTGTATCATCCATGATTGCTAGCAGAACTGTCTAGAGCAAATTAAACAGTCTTGATAAGTAAAAAAGGGTGTTTAAGGCATTTTTTGTTCTCTGGAAATTCTGGGAGCTAAAATACACAAGCTGCTGAACAGTCCTACCCTTATTCAGCACCAAACACTGAAACCTGCAAGTGGCTTCAGTTAGGAAGTGAAACACCAAACACTCGCACACAAAAAAGTGGATATCAGATTCCTCGTCCCCAAAATAAGAAATGTCATCGTTTTATGAAAGTGTATCAATGCTTTATAGCTAGCACCTGAGCCACATGCATAGAGCAAAATGCATCCCTCGTGCTGACTGATTAACCCTGCACCTTGCCCAAGTACTCCACTATTGACATTTTCAAATGTCAGTCAGTCAAATAGGTTACTATAACCTAGAGAAGCATAGGGGCTGCACTGGTACACTGAGCAAAAGCTCTACATGGTTTTATGAGGAAGAATAATGTACGTATCAACCTGTTTTCTTTGTCCTGGAACACTCTTTTCACTTCTAGCATATTACTAGTGTTGTTACTAATTTACTGATTTTCGCCATTCATGTTGCTTGAATTAATCCTGAACTATAAGGCAGCTTTTTATGGACTGCATCTCCACTCCTTTGTTCAGCTGCAGGCTGCTGAGAATGAGAAGGTGAGGTGGGAATTGGAGAAGACCCAACTCCAGCAGAACATTGAGGAGAATAAGGAAAGGATGATGAAATTAGAGAGTTACTGGATTGAGGCACAAACCCTCTGTCACACGGTGAATGAACATCTCAAGGAGACGCAAAGCCAGTATCAGGCTCTGGAGAAGAAATATAACAAGGCAAAGAAATTAATCAAGGATTTTCAGCAAAAGTAAGCAGCTACACCAGGGGCACCAAATGACTTAGTGGCCAGATAGGAAACATGTATATGATATATTTTGAAATATGAACCTCCCTATTAAACACCTGTAAGGTAAACACTATTTTTCACTTCTTTTTTTCATGAAAACTTGGACTCTTTATTGTGGAAAAATGTTACTAGTATTTGAGCTGTAGTTATACTGTAGCTAAATAAAGACTTTGTGTGTACTATTCCAAGTTGGAATGTTTCAGAATTACTGGATAACTCATTGTGAATACAAACAACAAAGAGTAATCATAGTAAAGCATTTGATTAGCCAGGTTTGCAGGAATTTATATTGGTATTGTGTCAGCTGGATTCATTCCTTCTGTGTACTAATGTGACATGAAGAAAAATATTGTTTTGTTACATTTTACATTTTGTTTTTCTTCTCATAGTTACCAAGAACATTTCAGCTGAGTTGAGCTAACTCATGATTACCTGGCCACCCCTGTTTCATGTGGTCCCTTCTCCCTCACGGCTAGCAAGAATAATAACGTCTTACATTTCTATAACAGCTTCCATTGGCCAAATTCCTTTTTTTTTCCCAGTAACTTTTTAATTTTCTGCTGAAATATACATGTTTCAAGAAGAAAACTCAGAAACATACAGCAATGTCAAGTGACAACTGGGACTGCAAAAATTACTTTCCTGTCCCATTAAAAAAGGAGTTAGATTGTCAAAATGCCATTACTGGTCTTGGAATTTTGTGACTGTTCCAGAACTAGTTTACATCTTATCTGCTTTCTATCACAAATGTCTTTGATATTCAAAATAAAAAGAGATAGGGAAAGTTGCTAGAATGAGTTTTGATAGCCTTTCTGTTGTTATTCTCCTTTATATTAGTAGAATATCTAGTTGGTTGTTTTTAATTATTTCAGACTCCTAAAGTGACCTAACAGATGTCCTTATAGCTTACTAGAAAATTTGATTTGTACCTGAAAAGTTACAGATGTCCTTTCTGTGAAGGAGTGCAGTCATACTGTAGTAAAACAGAGATTTTGCTCCATTTCCCACAACAGAGAACAACATAAACTAAGATAATGTTGTTTCTGTTGTAAATACAGATTATGAAAGAAATTGGTTTAACTTTTTTGATGATCAATTAGAACTGAGATTTTTTTTTCAGATAAATTCCTTTTACCAATTTTATATCATCACCTAGCATGTTCACTTAGACTAGTAGCTTAGGGTTTTGGGTTTTGTCCTGATTGCAGTTTCATAGTCCTTATTAAGTAAGTGATAAATTATTTGATAAGGACAGATTTTTCAGATGCATATCTTAAGATTTTTCAGAACATCTTATTTTCTGTTTGAGTCTGATTGCTTTGATGACAGCAAATACATTTTTATTTTTTTCTAAGAGAACTTGACTTCATCAAACGCCAGGAAGCTGAACGAAAGAAAATAGAAGATTTGGAGAAAGCACACCTTGCAGAGGTTCAAGGCTTACAAGCTCGTGTGAGTAGCATTTACTCTTACATTTTAGGAATGAGACTGATTAAAAAAATGTCTGATATTCTGGAAAAATAACATATCTAATGGGGAGGATGTATTGGGATATGTGTTTTGGGTAATACTATGTTGTATTTCTTTCAGATACAAGACTTGGAAGCAGAAGTTTTCAGGCTAATGAAGCAAAATGGGAGCCAGGTTAACAATAACAACAACATTTTTGAAAGGCAGACATCTTTTGGAGAAGTTTCTAGAGGAGATCCAGTGGAAAATATAGATACTAAGCAAGTAACCTGCCTGGATGGCTTAAGTCAAGGTTGGTTTGAAACAAACCGTAACTCCTATGAATCATAGATTGATTTGGATTGGAAGAACCTTAAAGTTGATCTAGTCCCAATGCCCCTGCCATGTGCAGGGACATTCCCACTAGACTGGGTTACTCAAGGCCTTGTCCTGCCTGGCTGTGAACACTGTCAAGGATAGAGCATCCACAACCTCCTTGGGCAACCTGTGTCAGTGTCTCACCACCCTCACAGTAAAGAATTTCTTCCTAATATCTAACCTGAATTTTCCCTCTTCCAATTTGTATTCATCACTCCTTGTCTTGTCACTACATTTCCTCATTTCCTGACAAAGAGTCCCACTTCAGCTTCCCAGTACTGGAAGGTTGCTATGAGGTCTCCACGCAGCCTTCTCTTCAATAGCCCAAACTTTTCTCAGCCTGTCTTCATAGCAGGGGTGCTTCAGTCCTCTTAGTAACCTCATGACACTTCTCTGGACTTCATCCAACAGTTCCATGTCCTTTTTATGCTGGGGACCCCAGAGCTGGACACAGCACTCCAAGTGAGGTCTCACAAGAGCAGAGTAGAGGGGCAGAATCCCCTCCCTCAACCTGCTGGCCACACTCCTTTTGATGGAGCCAATTCCATTGGCTTTCTGGGCTGTGAGCACACACTGGCAACTCGTGCTGACTTTTTCATCGATCATCACCCCTGAGTCCTTCTCCGCAGGTCAGCTCTCAGCCACTTCTCCACCCAACCTGTAGGTGTGTCTGGGGTTGCTGTGCTCGAGGCATAGGGCCCAATAATGTATGTAAACAGCATGGTTATCATTTAGGATTTAAAAGAAACAATTAATAATGCCAGGATGTTGATATTTTTCCAAAATACAGTATCTAATGACAGCTGTATCGGTGTTCTACCTAATAATGCCAATATAGAGTCCCAGAATAGCTGTGCAATGTATATTCTAAAAGAAATGGAACTAAATGTTAGTATAGCAAAGATCACTACTGACTGCTTAAAGCCATCAACATCTAGGTTTAATTTGATGCTTCTGGTGTTTTAATAAAGTAGGAGGGAATTGTGTTTTCTCCTGTGTTCCTAAATCTGTCCCTAATTACCCAACCAGCAAAGATCAAACAAGAACAATGTTACCAGAATGAGAAAACAATGTTAAATCCACCATTTTTAATGGTTCTCTGCAAGTTCTAATCTTACCTTGGTACAGACATCAAAAGGAACCTTGTAGGTGGCACTCACCATTTCTCAGGATGGAACCTTTTGTGAATAAAATGCAAATTCTTTACTAACACATTAATTAAAAAACTTATTCAGCTATAGCACAGACTGATTTACAACATAAGATTTATAAGACTTTTTTCCTACATTACCAAGAAACAAAACAGTTTGTACCAACGTTGAGATCTGGATAGATGCTGTCAGCAGGGTGGCTGTACCTTTTCTTTGTTTCACATAGAAAAGATAATTCTCATTTATAGGCTGTGTCAGTGAAAACATACAGATAACTTCCACAGCTTAGTTACAGTTCTGTAATTGCAAGTTGCTTCTCACTGTTGAAGGATATGCAGAATTAAAGCCAGTTTAGGCCCACAGCCTTGGGAAAAAAAAACCTGTTTGATGCAGGGGTAGGCAATACTTATTCTGTATTCAGTAACATCTTTGAAATCACATGTTGAAGGTATTGGAATTTTGACAAGGGAGCACCAAACTTTGTTCCTATAAACTATAATATTATTTATTTCTCTGGTAAAAAAAAATGTAATACATTGTGAAATAAATTAATTTCTAGCAAGTGTAGAGGTGTTTTATTAAAATTGATATTTTAGCAGTCATTTCATGTGTGGACCCAAGCAATATTACTTACAAAGAGATCAATATGAATTACATTATTAACAAATATAAATAAGAGCTAGTCCTGCTGAAATGATGTTAGGTGATATGCAGCCCTTGAGGAATTGATTTCTACAAATCTTCACAGAGCTTCTTTCTATCAAATTTTTATTGTACTGAAATCTCTGAAGTTCAGAAAAGCACTCAGGGGGAGAACTCTGTATTTCTACCATAGAGATTCAGTAAAAAATATAAAACATTTAATACTTAGCAGCTCTGTTAACACAAAACCTTTCAGTAGTTTGCATCAGGAGAGGGAAGTGTGTTTTCTTTACCTGACTCACAAAAATCATGTTTACATCTACCCTTGTAACAATATCAACGCACATCTATGGCTCAAGAGCTAAAATCCAGGAATTTCTACATACAAAAAAAATTGTAAAATTCTTTCTAAAAATTTGAAAATTCTTTGTATAGCATTAAAATTCTGCATGTCTGTGCTTCAAAAGTATGTTTTCCAATTGATGCATTTGCATGAAAATTTTCAAGGAGCTGTCTTTTTTCATTGCAAAAATGTTCTTCTGGAGCAATGCTACCAGTGTTAATTACTTCTGAGAACTAAAATAGATGACTTTAAATGCCCAAGTTTAACCACCTGAATACAAACACCAGTTATTTACTGGGAAAAACAGATAAATCGGCAATAATGTTTTACAAGCAGAAGTAGCATAGTTAGACCTTAGATTCCAGGCTGGATTTGTGTTTTTAAGATACCCCTAAATGTTCTGTAGCACTCTTTGACTTCCATATACCTTTTCCAGTAAATTCTGTATCAGTCTCTGAAGTCTGTATCAGACTGTAATGTAGTGATACTTGCTGTGCTGACAAAGAGCCTAGGTGTCCATATCATTCTTGTTTAACCCTTTTAAGAAAAGGACTTGCCATTAACCCATGGATGTTTGCGAAGGAGCTATAAACATCAGGGAAGATGTCCATGATGTTTTGGAGTGCAAGCAGAATCCCTCTGGGTTCTGTGTGTTGCACATGCTGCCTTTGTGACACTCACACTGGTGCTTCAGTCTCTTTTCTGGCTCTTGTTTGGCGAGTATAACACATACTCCTTGATCAAGACTCTACATTAGGTTCCTGGAGCAGGACTGCATGTACACAGCCACATCCCTTAATATTTGTTCGGAAGTTTGCAGGACTGTCTTCCCTAAGAAAATTAGGTTATGGAAAAATATAATATTTGAATTAAGGTTGTATCAAGTATGGTTTTGCTTCCATGTGATCTGGGATATTTATTACATTCTTGCATATTAATAGACTTGGGAAGAAGTCATTTATGCAACTTGATGGTCACAAGTATTCAAGCATATCTCTTCCTAACACTGCTGGTGCTCTGGCCGTGTTTAGCATCATGACAGACTGTATGACTCCTCCGACTGTAACATAACCTGATGCTGAGGTTAAGGGGCTGCCAGTAACATCAGTGGAAGTTAGAAAGAGAAAATAAAAACCATTGTGGCCCACAGAATTCTTCTGTTGCTTTGCCAGGGAATATTAGAAACCTGAGGATTGTGTTTCTTTTACAAATGTACAATTTATTCTGAAAGTCCAGAAGAATACATAAAGTGGATTGTAGCTTTCTGATTTAGTGGTCATGAGCTGTATCTGCAGTAAAGAATCAAGATATTTACTGTCAGTGGTTTGAAATATAAACAGTTCAGTTTAGGAGATTTTGAAGTCTGTCAGCCTGTATAATGGAAAAAGAGTGGGAAGACAGGCAAGCTCTTTCCTGCTCCACAGTGCTATTGAAATAATTCAGATGCAAGACCATGGGAGTCAAGTGGTTGTATATCTGATGCAAGAAAGTCTAGTTAGATTTTCTCTGAGAGCAAAATAAAACCTGTTATGACTTTTATGTGAGAGATGCACCAGTCTCCCTAGTGAGTTGGGAGATTTCTAGGGAAATGTGTGAGATGTGTTTGTGCTTGGAGGAGTGAAGGCTGGCTGCTCTCTGCAGAAGCGGGAACTGGAACTGGGGATAACAGCACATGTGGCTGGAGCAGAGACCATCTGACAGCAGCCCAGTTCCACTGCAACGTGTGGTGAGCAGGGCAGGACCAGTGATGGGGTGGAGGAAGCAGGAAGCTCCAGGCCCAGATGGTATTTTGCTTTAACAAAGCCAATATGACCAGTTCTGTGAATACCGTTTGCATAATTTCAGCAGTGAATGGAAGGGATGTATGAACGGGGATGTATGAACGTGTGTACTACTGAAAGAACAAATGTGAGCAGTTCAAGCCATGACAATGTGCAATTATCCTATGGAGTACTTAGGACAGAAGCCTAATTACAAGTCAGACAATGCTAATTATTTTGTATTATCCTGTGACTGAAAAATTTAACTCTTACTCAAAGAAAAGTAAAAATATCTTTAAGATCAGATTCTTATTAATTAATGTGTTATGAATGCAGTACTTAGACAAGTAAATTAATCTAATGGCTTATGGTTTGATTTATACTGTCAGAATTGAAAAAAAAATTATTAAAACCATAAAAAATCTGTTCCTTTTCTGGTGTAAAATGCAGACACACCTTTTAAAATGTTTTTTGTTTTAGTCACTACAGCTTTGTAAAGTGATAAATTTGCTTCAATACTCAGATTTCATTTGAATGGATTATTGATAGCTAAGAAAAGTGCAGCTATGTTAGCTTTTGTTGTAAAGGCAAACCATATATGAAGTGTTCAGTATACTTTACTCACAAGACATTCAGGAATAGGGGGGCTTTGAAACTAGGCAGGTAAGATGGTTTCGTTGTTCCATTTTTTATATGAAATATTCCCCCAATTTTCATGTATCACATAGTGGTGTTTATGCTGTGAGGGAGGAAAATTCTCTGCAGGCCAAGCACATGTGAGTCCTTCTGAAGTAGTCTAAGTGGACCTGCTTTCTGGGCTAGTATAGATGGGCTTGTGTGGTCTTTCATGTAACTGTGGGAATAAGTTGTTGAATTCTTAAATATCTGGAGTTGATTCTTTGCTATGCACTTACTGAATCTGTGTAGATAAACTTGTTTGTGCAAGTGACTTCTTTTTTCTTGAGGATATTTTAGCAGTTACAAAGATACAGGTACAAGTAAAATGTGTCTTTTCTAACCTAAATGATTCTATGATTCTGTGCAAAGTGCATGTGCTTGCATGTACTTCCTCTGTTAGGAAGAAGTAGTGAAAGATTGTTCTGTTAAATAGCTCCAAATCATGTTTCCATATAGATTTCAATGAAGCAGTTCCAGAAACAGAGAGACTGGACTCCAAAGCTCTGAAGACTCGAGCTCAGCTGTCAGTAAAGAACAAGAGGCAGAGGCCTTCCAGAACCAGACTGTACGACAGCATCAGTTCAACTGATGGAGAGGACAGCCTTGAACGAAAGGTGAGAAGGACTCTAGCCCCTCTTTCAGGCTTCCTATGGAATGCTAGATTGCCCCTGTAAGTCATCCTCTATCTATCCTTTTATTGTAGCACAGGCAGTATTTATTCTTCTGTGGTCAGTCTGCCGTGAATGTCCTTGAGTAATGTGCGAGTCCAGTCTCCTTTTGAGTCAGCACACCTGGTTTTTTGATTTTGTTGTGTTTTAACTGGAATTGTGGTCTTTTGGATTTACATGTGCTTTATAATTCAGAATGGGTCCTTTCATTTATGCAGGAGGTGAAAGGAGCTGGAATTGTGCATTTCTCTCTTTGTTAATTTGTTAACAGAATTGTTTTGTCCTATTCTGATTTCTGTCTGAAAGCAAATACCAATAAACAACACTCTGTGTGGTATCAAAGGGTAATGCCATGAATTACTAGAGCATTTCGTACAAACAGAAAGCTAAATAATGAATAAAAGAGTTGCATGTTCAAAGTAAATCTTGCTCTGTTTGCTTACTAAGTGGTATAACCTGCTTTATAATCTCTTATACCAACAGCCATCACACAGTTACAGTAGTCCCATGCACATTTCAAAATCACCACTGCCCTTATGCATGAGAGCATCCTCACCAGCATCAGATTCTGGTGCTTCCTCCCTCTCCCCCGTGGCTAGCAGTGCAGCAATCTCACTTGACAACCTAACTGAAAACCAAGAAGAAGAACAGCACCACAAAGGAGGTGTCCTTTCCCCATATGCTTGGGGAGACACTCCACTTTCATCTCCTTCAAAATCTGGGCACAGCTCTGAAGCATCTCCTTTGCATCACCCAGCTGGCAGGAATATTTTACAGGATAAAGGTATTACTACTTTTTTTTCAATAAATTGATGCATCATTTTGCTCACACCTACTTAATGACCTTTTGTTGTGTAGTAGGACCTTAGCAACAAGAAGGTCATCATCTCATAACTTCTTTTGCCTACCTGGAAATCAGAAAATTACAAATGACCTTGTCTGATGGTATAAGAAAAGGATGAGTTTAAAATGGGATAGGGAACTGCTTACTTTCTTCTTTTTTTTTTTTTCTTTCTTTCGTGGAGCTCACTGAAAAAAAAAAAGAAAAGTTGCCTTTAAGAGAGTGTTGTATTGTGTTTTTTAAAAAAACAACAGTATTTGACCTTGGGACATCTCTGTGTTACAAAAATGCTTAACACAGTGTACTTACTCAAATAATGTGATTTTGGCACTGCTAGATGATTCTTTTAGAGGGTGCGGAAAGGAGTGTAAAGCAAGAACAACAGACTGTAGCTTTTAATTGCTGAGAGGCAGCATAGTCTAGATTTAACATAAGGTTGGTGACTGGACACTCTTCATTTACAGAAGAAAAAAGCAGCAGGTAATTTTTTTGGGAGATTGTCCTCATTGGTTTTAATTTAATTCAGATTCTTTAAATGCTAGCTGGATAAAACAGGATGCAATCATACATAGGTCAGGTAAAGTGGTAAACACCAGTTTATTATATGAATTAGCAATACGATATGTCACAGAATACTGAGCTCTCCTTTTCAGATACCTTTGGAAGTCAAAATTAGCATTTGACACAACTTCAGCATTCTTAGCTGTGCAGCTTGCATTCTCAAACTGTCACATAAGCTAAAATACATGATAAAAACCATTTATAAGTGAGGACTCCAGGAATAGGTCTAGATAGGTTCATTACAGACTTCTACTTACTTGAATTAACTGAAAAGAAAAATTTTTTGTTCTGTTTTTGTGGGTTAAATAGTTAATGACTTGAAGTTAAATTCAATATTTGAGTTTTGCAAGTAAAAATAAGGGTGTGAACGTAAGACTGTGACTTTCCAAACTCATACTTCAGCTTGAGTTTGATTGGTGGTTTATCAGGAAAGCCCTAAATCCTGCATTTCCAACTGATGTATGAAAAATACCATGGTAAAAATTTAGTGGAAACTAGCCTTGTAGTGTAAGGAATAGGGTATTACATTCCACCCACTGTGTCACTCTTTCCATTTTAGGTTTGAAAAATAATCTCTGTCTAAATATTGATGTCATGCTTTCCCTGCTGTGACCATTAAGTAAACAACCTGTGCTTTTGTGTGTATCCAGGCTCTGATGAGTAGTGCATTAGAATTAACCAGAGCAATTTAGTTTCACATGGAAAAATTGCATTAATAAGTCCTAAAAAAAAGAAATATACTAAAGGAGTTGTTTGGCAACAAGTGCTGTAGCAATACTATTTTAATTGATTGTTGATTTGGCTGTTAAACTCATACAGCTCGGAAAATAAAAAGAGACACTGTATTTGTTCTGTGTGTTCAGGTGAGGTTTTTTTTAGAAATGGAAAGAGAGCACATCTGTGGACAACTGTGTGTCCATTGGTTAATCTCTCATTAGCAAAAGTGAGCATTAGCAAGCTCACACTTTTCTTTTGTTCTTTTTCTTATGAGATCCCGCAGTGTTGTGGGAGGAGCTGAAGTGGTGTGAGATCAGTTTCATTGCAAAATGATGAGGAATTTTGCTTTTTTGGCTTTTACTTGCAGCTTTTTCATGGGTATGTGATGAATTTGTTTTCTTCAATTCTGCCTGCTTTGTGCAACACCATCCTTTGATAAGGCTGTGAGGTGACCCCTGTGGGCAGTACTCGCTGATGTGAGGCTGCCTGCAATGGGTATGTGACCTTGGGGAAGAAAGTTAAGTGTAGTCTCCTTTCACATCCATCAGCCACAGATTACTTACACACCATCTTGAGGCTGGAAGTGATGGATTAAACAGCTTCTGTGTGATTTATTCTGAGGAATAGGCTTTCGCTTTACCTCTCTGAAGAACTACAAGGAGTTGGGGAGGGTGGACCCATCCAGGGTGGCTGAATTCCCCTCCTGCCCTGATGGGGCACCTGCAGCTCTGGCTCGTGGTCACTGCCGTGTGCCAAGCACTGTGTACTTCCCTGCATCCAAGACCCTGTAGATTCAGATGTACTCTGCCATGAAGCTGGTTTTGGGACCTAGCCTATCCATTTGCCACTGTATCCTGTAGCCAGCACAAGTATTTTCCCCAGTAAGTCGTTGTTATTCAGAGGGCCCTGGCTGGCCCAGGCAGTGTGAGAGGGGGAATATTGTGATACAAGACCCTGAATAGAAGATTGCCATACCAGGTAGCTGCTGCGTGTCCTTGCTGAGCTCTCCGGATTTTTTTTCTACTACAGCAGCAAAACCTCCATTTCACTGACTTTCATTAACAAGTTTCTCAAAAAACCACACTGCCCCTTGGCCCCCAAGCCTGTGAATAGCTAGTGTGAAAATAAACTTTGCAAGTTTTTACTTGAAAGTGACAATTTTGGCAGTGGTTAAATGAGAAGTGTGCATTAAAGGTGAAAGAGGAACCATAAGAGGAGACAGAAGAGAAGTGTGCGTGGTGTAAGGTTGATGCAGAGTGTGTATTGCCTAAAGTTCTCCTCAACTTCCCTAGGGAAGGAATTTCTTCTGAGGAGACTTCACCTTGCTTTTGTCATTCTTTGTATTACTTTTTTTTGTTGTTTGCTTTTTTGGCATGAGATTACTTGCCATTTGTTCTTGATTTTTTTTTTTTAACATAAAGACTTGTGTTGGTAGAAACAGTATGGCTTTTAGAGTGGGGGTATTGCAAGAGGCTTATTTTCCTGCTTTTCAAAAGATTTATGAACCAGTTGCACACTAAATTTTTTACTTGAATGAAAACTTGGGCAGATATTATCCTCAAAGCAGCACACAAAATTCTATACACAGAGTTGACTGTCCTGTGGTAGTGCTGTGGTATTTTGGGTTAATTCTGAGGGCTTAATTTATATCAGCCACAGTAGGAGAAATCCACAAACCCAGCAGTGCTCTCAGTTAAAAGTTACTCTATGTCTGAGGTCACATTGCAAAAGCCACCAAACCACAAGTGATATGAGTGAATGAGCTTCATTTGCTTCCTCTAGATTATTTGGGAACAGTCCTTATGTTTTAAGAGTAACTGTGTCTGAATATTTAGCTACTATATGTTTTCTTTTGGCTTCCATATAGATTTCACAGGATGTTTTCCAGACTCAGATTCATTGTTTTGACTTTATAGGTACTGCAGACTGTTTCCTCTTTAGGCTTTAACAGTGTTTGTAGAAGAGATAAAAAATTGATAGATGTCTCAGGGCAGATTTATTAACTAAGCTACTTTTAGTTCTTTCTTTCTTTGGTTTTTTTTGTTGGTTTGGTTTTTTTTTTTTTTGGTTGGGTGGGTGGTTGTTTGTTTTTTTTTTAAATTCAGGGTGGTTAGATTTCAAGTTAAATGTTTAGTTTAACAAAGACATTCAGGCTAAACAGATGAACTGTTTTGTAGCATATCCATCATAAAGGGTACCCTTGGCTCCAGATTTAAAGAAAGCATTTCAGGAGTCGTTTTGGAAGTAAACACACATACAAAATGAATTCTGTAAAAAGAAACTCACAGCTACTCCTGAGTTTAAAAATGGATTCATTATAATGTTTACCTGTAAATCTCTTGTGTTGTTTGATTTATTACATATTCATTAAAACTCAACCAAAATTACCTTTCCATTTTCTTCAATTAAAAATAAGGTTTTTTCATGTGTATTTTCAAATTCTGATTTTTCCTATTCCTGTTCATACCATCTTCCTAAAAATGAGAATTCCCCTATTTAAATTGTGTACTCACACATATGTTTGTATGCATATCTGATTATGAAAAGATACACAAGGTGTTCTGGGTGGAAAGTAGCATTTAAAATTAATAATGTACATTCTTCCGTGTACAAATGTATCCTAGATGGTGCCACATGTGCTCAGGCAGCAAGAACAACTAGCCCTACTATAGGGCATACAGAAAGACTAAAGCGAAAACTTGCAGATCTTGGGTAAGCATTTTGTTATAAAAAATACTTCTTTTCTTCATAAAAAGGATTGAAAGTAAAAATTCAAAGATGTTTCCTGATGTTTTCTAATATTTTTGTAGGGCTCCCTTGAGAAGGAATTCAAACAAGGGCAAGAAGCGGAAAGAGAAAGAAGCTATTAGGGTGACCTATGGCAGTAGGTATGGGTGAAAATTGAGGATGCAAGAAATGATATGCCAGAAACATTGAAAAAACCTAATCATCCTAGCAGATGGAACATTAACAGTCCCACTTACTTCCTAAATAAGTGTTAAGCTTTGAGATAACCTTCTGAGCTTACAAACCTAGATTCCTTGGCTAAGAAAAGACTAACATATGATCTAAAAATACTTGGAGGTTTATACTGTCATAGAATCATAGAATATCTCAAGGTGGAAGCGACTCACAAGGATCATCATGTCCAACTCGATCACTACTGCTGTTGCATCCACTAATGGGATTTGCAGAAATAGATTTTCAGAGCAGGCTTACAAGATGCACACAGTCAGTTGATAAAACCCATGAACCAGAAACCTTGACACAATTCCACATATTTTTTTAAAAAAACCCCAGAGCAAGATTGGGCAGCAGCTGTTCACTGCAGCTTTGCAGTGCCCACATTAGGAATGCTTTCAGGTTTTTTTTAAATGAAGATGAACATCAGAAGTTGAAAATAGATAGGAAAAATGCCGATTGCATGTCATGTCACCAACTTTCAGGCAAGGAATTTTGAATTCCCTGTGAGATCTGATAAGACCACATTGCCAGCATCTGGACTCTGAATAAATAAATGAATATTCAAAATGACAGGAGGCAATCTTCTCTGCAAAAGCTAGTGTAGATTTTTGCTGGAGGCCTCTCCTTATGTACTCATGAGTACATAAGTACAAAATCACAGCTTCAGGCATGATACCTGATTCCAGGTATGAAAGACATTAATGTCAGGAGGGCTACGCAAACTTAATATGTTCCAGAAGTCTAGAAAGGACATAGCAACTCAAAAACTGCTCTTAAAGCAATGCAAAAGAAAACCTACATGATAAAAGTGCTATTGGAAGAAAGCAAAGCTTGAATGCTACTCAGAAAATCATTGTGGTGGAAAACTAGTATGTAGCCATTTGTGGAGTTCTCCTGACAGTCTAATATATGGAGACCCAATGACAAGTATATTGTGTAGCTCCGTAAAATCAGAAAAGCAAAAGAAATCTTAGCCTGCTGACTTGCTCTCTCAGGCACACTGTACCAAAGTGCAGTGTTCTCTCTCAGCGTACGTTTGTACATTTATATCCTGCAAATACCTGGCGGGATCTTTGGTGATCTTAGGCAGCAGTCGTCACCTCTGTGCTGTTGTCTGAAAACCTGTTGCATTGTGTCTGCTTGCAGTGTTACCTGGAGTTAGTGATACCCACTGCTGGGTTTCCTTAGTGACAGGAGGAGATTTGTTACAGCCAAATCTACACTTCTGTGTGGCTGTGAGGCAGCTAGTGCCCTTAGCAGGGTATTAGACATCATGTAGCATTTACATACCAAGGCACAGGGCAGGGGAAATGAATGTATACTTGTTTGTAAGAACTTGATATGTCCCTTATACCAACACACTTTGTTACAGATGTTTGTGAGATCCCATAGGTATCTTCCTTAGAGATATCAGATCTCAGCACAGAGAGATCAGTTGCTTATTAGACCATTTGATATATCAGTTATATGCTTAATATTTCTTTATTACAGTTCAATATTTCAGTGTTACAGTTGCTGAAAGTAAAGTTTCATACTGCTTTCAAAGTTGAAATTCATGAACATTTGTAAGTCTCACTGTGCCTCTGTAAACTGGAGGTTTATTATTTCAGTATAAGTATTTAAACAGCCATTGTCACTTCTTTTGTTACTAACTCCAAAGAATTTGCCTCAGAAGAAATGTGAGGATGTTTTCTCTACAAGTCCAAAGCTGTATAAGCTCTTTGAAAGAAGGAACATGATAAAAAGACAGCATCCTGTTATAATCATATCAATTACAGCAACTGATTGGTGTAGAATTAATCACACCAATGATTAGATGAATGTTGCATGCTTCTTTGCCATTGCCAGAAAGTAGCACTCAGGATGTGTACATAAAATCCTGAATTATTTCCTAAATCTACTGGTAATATTAGAGATACAAAAAATTCCCCATTTAAATAAGAAGCATATATTTCCCTACTTGAAGCTAGGTGGTTTGGGGAACATAATTTTTTTTTCTTTCTACTTTCAAGCAAGATTAGAGGAGGAGGGAGAAGTATAGGTCTGGGTCAGATATATCTTTCTTTATGTAGTGAAATGGAAGTAGAATTCTCCTTCTGCTTTCATAGATAGGAGTCCTTTGACAACCTCACTTTCATCCATGCAGAAAAGAAGCTTCACAATATACAAAGATCTAGTGATTATGTTAATTATGATTTAGAAGCTGTCCAGAAGCTTGAAGTTGAGGGAGATTTACATGCATGGCTTTTACATATGGGTGCTAAAAGCAGTGAGATTTTAGTGCTCTGGAGCAGTAATGTATATGTTGATGTAACTAATATAATTCTATGACATATGCATAAGTTTTTTGAGGCAGACACTTTGCATAGTTATTTTTAATTTACATACTATAATACTGACTTGATATACTTGACGAATAATTTAGGTGTTTTAGTTTATAACTGTTACTTTTTCCTTGATCACTGCAATCTTTGTTACTACAAAGAGAGAAGCTGATAAAGTCCCATAGCTGTTTCTTTAATTTTTCTATAATATTTTTAATATATATTAAATTTAAAAACAAGATAATAGTACTTCATCGATATTTAGCTGTTGTAACAAAGACACATCTCCATAGATGGATACAGATGCATTTAATTCATTATGCCTGTGCTTGAAATCCAAGGCAAATCTTCTCTGGGAACCAGAGCCCGTTTGGGTCAGTGCTGAGTCTAATTATTTAATCATGCTGAGATACCACTGTGGCTCAGAAATGCACCAACACAACATGTGGCTTCTTGATGGAGCTGGTTCTCATCTGAACAGTGGGAGTTACAGGCATTTTCAGCTGGCATCTGTCTCCATTTGCTGGGTGTATGTTGTGTAAAAGAGCTTGATGTAGAAAAAGAATCAAAAGAACACACTTTCTTTTTCTTCTGAGAGAAGGATTTCAGGCATGCCCCTACCAGCTGCATGTCACTCAGTTCTTTAGTCAGTTACAGGGAATGTCACTCTTTCCACAATTAACTGCCTCTAGCATTTTGTTTTCTCTTCTTGTATAGTCTAACACATATTCCTGCTCCTTTCTCCTAAACAGGACTGTCAGAGAGATGCTGCAGAAATCATCAAACACAAAATCTTTAGCAGAGCGATCCTCCTCTCTCCCACACTGTGTACCAGTCACATGGTATGGAGAGAGTGGCAAGGGATCCAATTCTTCTAGCAACCTGCCATCACCTACCAGCTCAACTGAACCCTCCTCTGAAAATTTAAGTCCAGCTAAAAAAGGGTCAAAGGTAGAAAATAAAAACTACCTTATTCCCACTGTGTTGAGTAGCATAATTGGCTTTGTGTTTCTGGAAAAAAGAACAGGCCAATATGTGACTACTACAATAAACAGTGCATGGTGTTCATTGTACGGTAACAGCCCATCCAAACAGAACATCTCTGTCACTGTACCATTCCACATTCTACCTTTTTACTCTATCTTAATGTACATTATTTCAGTAAACTAACTGTGATGTGCTGTACCGTAACAAAAGCAAATGGTGCCAGTGGAAATTAGCATTTGGATCCACTGAACAAATGCTAGATTTGTGTGTTCAGTTGTAGATATTTTCTTCATTCTTCAGAACTGGTAGTGGGAATACGTACCCGTGTTCAAATGAGATGTTTGCAAGTGAAGAAATGCTGTATGCCGTCAGTCATCTGCCTTTTCTCCCCGAATAATGAAATCTGTTTGTCATGCATGCTTGCTGTTGGATTTAATTCTCTGTATGAAGATGCTTGAACTGTAAATATGAACTATTGTAATTAATACATCTGTGTGATTCCTTTCTATGTGCATGAATGTTTCAGCATGATAACTCCTTAAATAACCCTCCGTTATTGCAATATATTTAGCATTTCATGTTTATTTTCACTTCTGGAAAATATTTCTCTGCCTGTATCTTCTTATGATTTTTAGCAGTTAATTTTTTATTAGTCTGGTAAAAAGAAACAGATATGGTTTTCAACTTTATGTACAGGACTATGAATCAGAAATCTAATTTCTCTGTCTTCTACAACCAAATGCATGTTCATAATAGCAGTTTCCACAGGCATTTCTTACTCTTTTGATGCCAAAAGCTGGTGATACCTTACTTCTGCTGTGCACTAAACTATGCAAGGTCATAGCTGTTCTTGTGTTACCTGGCAGGGAGAGCTACACAAGGCTTACCCCAATCAAAATCAGATTAATAGAGAAGACAACCAATGAAATCTCTGAAGATTAAAGAGAAATTAATCAGTTACATCTTTCTTTTGGAAACAAAAATATTTATTGGAGCTGTAAATCCTTTTTGTGTCTTTAAACAAACATTGTATAAAAATGACTTTCAAACAGGGAAAAAAGCGCACCCTTTTAGATAGTATTAGGTTGAGGCTTTAGGGGGTTGTCCTGCTATCATAATTATTAGCAGGCCTTGGCTATTTTGTGGTTTTCCTATAGAAAATTAAATTTTAAAGGCTTAAATTTATTGTAAGCTGAAGCTTGCACAAAATAGAGGTGAAAGAAAAAACAGAGTACTTAAAAAAGAAAAACATGTTCTTCACACAACAGGCAGTAGAGCTGTTGAACTCCTGGCCTAAGAACGCTGTGTGGGCTAAGGAAGCAGCTAAGGAAGCTGCTGAGGTTTGCTTCTCCCCTATAAAGAGCTGGGAAAAACAGATCAGGAATTCTAAATGTAGGTGAGAGAAAACCAATCACAAAAACATTCTTATGTTCTCTCTGAAGTCTACAGGCTCTTAAATTAAGAGTGCCTGTACTGCTATTAAGGCTTTCAAAGCACAACATACCAATATTAAGTTAGATTTCCAGCAAAACCTAAGAGGATCAACACTTGATATTTTTTTGGAAGACTTTGTGTTTTCAGGAAAGATAGTTCAAATATCTTGGGGGGATCAGATAAAAGGATAGCTTTTTTTAGTGTTGTTTTTATTGTTTCACTTTTTAAAGTGAACACCAAAAATGAATTTAATACTCATTTAGATGTTAGAGTAGAGATTAGAGGTCTCTGTATTGTCAAGTGTATTTTCAACTTAAATGGAATATCATGGTGTCCTTAATTTTTTATATATTTTGGTTTCTTTGTTGTTCTCCCTCTAACATGAAATACTTGTTAATTTTTGTCTTATTCTAATGGTAATTCTGTTGTATTCTTGAAAAATATGTGCCTGCTTTTGCTATCATTTGCTGTAAGGTGTGATGTCTCTCATTGCTTTGTTAAGAAAAAAGAGGGTTTGTTTTATGGTTTTTAGTTCAGTAAATAACATTCAATATCCAAAGATCTCTTTTACTTTCAGTTTTTTTTCTAAAGGCATAGACAAACAGGGAGGATCCTTTTACTTTTTTGGGAGAGTATTTGGAACTCAGAAATGGATTCATAGGATATTCTCCTTGCTGTTTCAATAGGAGTTTTCACTTCTTTCTGTTCATTAATCTTCTATCCTATTCTTTGTGCTACTGCCTGTGCTACTCTTGTCCTAAATATTTGGAGGACAGTAAATGCTAGTGATTAACCTGCAGAAGCAGTAATTTAGCTCCAGGATGAGAGCCAGCATCTTAAGAGTCTGGAAATGGCTTTAAGACACCTTTGTTATTCATTGAGGCATTAAGCTGGTAAAAGTGTCTCTTGAAGTACACAGTGGTAAAAATACTGTGTATTCTATAAATATTAACAATAAAAAAAATTAGGCTTCCTCATGTGCATTTTAATTGGTTTGGTAAATGATTGAAATCACTCCTGAGCTGTGCCAACCAGGAAGACAAAAAGCAAATTTCCCTTCTGAATGCACATATGCAATCATTTGTTCATTCTCGCTCGTCTTTTTGTCCACAGAATTTCACGTTCAATGATGATTTCAGTCCCAGCAGCACAAGTTCAGCTGATTTGAGTGGTTTAGGAGCAGAACCTAAAACCCCAGGCTTCTCACACTCCTTAGCATTGTCGTCAGATGAGGTATGCTGATGAAATTGTTTAATTTGGGAAATAGTTATTTTCTTTCTCCAATGTCATCTTGCTTGATTACTTGAATAATAAAGGGAATTTTTTAGGCAATAGAATTGGAGAAGAAAATTAATCTTGGTTTCTAGATTAAGATTTTTCTTGTTCATATAATAATGACTTTAAATAAATACCCTGTGGTATTATCGTAGGGAAGTGGAATGCAGTTGGTTTCCTAAGAGATGCTATATCCTCAGATACTGTATCCTCACACATTTTAATAAATTTTCCCTACACTCTAAACATATACATGTGAACCCATAGGTATATATATGTAAATACACTAAATTAGGCATAACTGAGACAATTTGATATACCAAACCTACACTATAGTTTGGTAAATATAGTTGAGACGTAAGGTGAATTAACCCACACTAATTTTTACCCTGATAAAATGACCTGTATATACAGTAATTGTGTGTTACTGTACCTGAATGTATGTCTATTGATTATAACGTGTATATTAATCCACTTTGCATTCTTTGTGCTTGCTTTGCACAGTGCATTTGAATTCAGTTTCTTCAAACTAGAGTTTTTAAATAATGATAAACTAAAAAGGCATTCCTAACCCTATAAATTTGGTGACATAATTGAGTTGAATATAACGTATTGAAAATATTCTTCTTACTATACTAGTTTTGTAACTCAGTTGTCAGTGAGGTTGCACAATTTGACAGTAGCTGACAGCAAATCCTGTGGACTCAGGAAACCTGTACATTTGTTCTTTTACTAATACTCCATACTTCACATTTTTCATGTGAGATTTGAGCCAGATTTTTTTTCCCAGACATGAGGAACTTGAAGTATCTTTTTTTTTTTTCTGTATGATAGTTAGATTTTTTTTTATTACTGCTTGCATGATTTACTTGGTTTTAAGAATGAGGGCTGTTCTGCACAACCCCGTTTGCCAAACTGCAAATCTACAAACCCAACTGTTCTTTGAACATTCCTTACTGCAGGTGATTAAGGGCAGTAATTCATAACAAAAGGAGACTGCAGACAGGCCTGTATATCCTGTGAATTGCTTAAAACAACAAAGTCATCATTTGCACTTTATTTACTGTTAGTACTATCTTAATAATGTATCTAATTATCTTACCATGTTTAATACCACCTATATTATGTATTTGATTGTGACAATGCCCTGTTCCGAGTGGTATTGAATTAAAAGCTTGAAAATGCTTTCGTTTTGCATGTTCAACTCTGTCACTTCTAAAATATCAAGCCTGAATGGGTCTATAAAAATGAATGTGTTTTCTCCATCCTCTGCTGTGTGCCAAATTGCTGCCTCCAAATGAGGCAATGTGTTCAGCAAGAGCTGCAGTGGAAATCACCCCAGCCACCCTGGCCAGGAGTTAGGCCAGTGCTGCTCTTCAGCCTCTCATAGTGCATTGCTGCAAGCACTGCTTTGCTCTGGCTCCTCCAGGATGGGGAGGGAATCCAGTTCTTGCAGGCAAGCTCTTCTAATTAAGGAGCTTTTACTCTTGGAAACGGAGTCATCAGGGAGATTCCCACCAGTTCTAGAGTGTTGAGATAAGGAACTCCAAAGGTGTTTCATTGACATAATGTCAGGTTTAGCTGCCAAATCATGTGTGTGCTGAGCTTTCAACATAACATGTTTGCTTCTGGAAATAGTTTTTTAAAAGAAATCTTTGTGGTTTTGAGTAGCCATATCTGTTTGCAAATCTTGGTGCTGCCCTTACCTGAACTTTTACATGCTGTTCCATGTTTGGTATTGTGTTTCTATAATGCTTTTCTTTCCCATTTCTTTGTTGCTCCCTCACTCAGAGCCTGGATATGATTGATGATGAGGTGAGATACTAGTGTGCTGTTGTTGCGAATCTTGTGACCATCGCGTGGCAATGTATCGTCTCTTTTGCAGAGTCACATTTCTTGTTTTATGGTGTTGTGTGGTGAACCCCCTTGTTGGAGCAGAACATGCAGGTGTCACTGGCTCCTCTTTCCTTGTCTTGAGTTCCCCTCTCCTTTTTGCTGAGAGTTTTCAAGGCCGCAGCAAACTGCAGTTTTTGCAGTATGCTGGGAGGCAGGAGAGTCAGTGTCAAAGCAAATCTACAAGGCCAAGCATCAGCTGCACTGTGCTCCTGTTGGCAACAGGAGAAGGAAAAGATAGTGCTTAAACCGTCTTTTCCCCAGCCCTGAGAACTGGACAGCCAGAAGCTGAGAGAGCTCCCAGCATCATCTAACCCAGTGTAAAAGCTGCTGTAACAGCAGACAGCTGCTGCAGCCTGTAGCAGCTGCTTTGCTGACCACAGCCAGGACAGAGTAGCTTTTGTTTCAGCCCCACTGGCATACCCCTGGGTGGAATAAAATGGCAGAGCAGGGACATGGGGCTACTCCGGCAGCTGGCATCCCACCTGCCCTTTGTGGTGCTGTTTGTGCTGTCATCTGCAGCAGTGATGAGAGCCAGGCCAGGGCTGTGGGATCACTGTGTGTTCCATACTGCTCCTCTGTGTCATTGCATGAGTCTTCCATAGACACTACCAGTCTCACTGGCTGTTTGATGTCATCACTTTGAACTTTGCAGTGGTTTTCTGAGGGTTTCTTTTTCCCCTCAAATTTCTTGTTTTGTAGCTTAAACAAATCATAAATATCTGTGAATGAGCCAAGAAGGTGGAACGCACAATTTGTTGCATCCTTTAGAAACCTTCTAATTTGAAGGATAAAAATCTTGTGGGAGAATCGAGCATACCTGGTTTGAATTGTGCCACCTGGCCCTTTCAATCCCTGTTTGAGTTAAAAGGAATGCCAGTTCCTTTTTCTTCTATGATTCTATAGATAAAAGTTTTTTTGGGTACCTTGTACTTGTTCTTGGGTGTCTGGTTAGATAGACATGTAATATAGCAGTGTGAAATTGTTATTATTGTAGTGTAAAGATTGTAGTGTACCTCTTGGACAATACAAGAGGTACTGTGCAGATACTTCTGCTGCTGGTGGTTTGTGCAGGAAAATGTTGTTACTCATCTATGTTACTTTTTCAATAATAATGTAGCATGTTTTTGTCACAGATCCTTGATGATGGACAATCACCTAAGCACAGTCATTGTCAGAGTCGTGCTGTTCATGAGTGGAGTGTGCAGCAGGTTTCCCACTGGTTAATGAGCCTGAACCTTGAACAGTATGTTGCCGAATTCAGTGCCCAAAATATTAATGGGGAGCATCTCCTTCAGCTGGATGGGAGTAAGCTCAAGGTAATTAACTGACTGGGCTTCAAGAGTAACTATAGTATCTTTTGTCATTTATATAATCTTAAAGCCAGTAAGAATTCGTTCAGAAAGCAGTAAATCCCTGCATGGGGAGTGGTGATAGACTAGAATAATAACACAGAGTATAAACCCACAGCAACACTTCAAGAAATTCCCATATGCACTTGGATTCAGAAGCTTCAGAAATAGGGCAATTGCTTTGTGAAAGTTCTTGGTGTATATAATGTACCCGTATTTGCATGTGTAAATCATATAGCAGTATGTGTAAGTGGTATTTGCATGCATATATTTCTTATCCCGCTCTGTTCTGTGAAAGGATGATTCAGAGAAGATGGTGGACAGAAACGTATCAGAACTAGCAACAGAATAGTGGATTATTGGGATACTGGAGGCATAAACTGATACCAGTTGTACTGTATTAGAACTAAATATAGTTTTGATGTATAAAGTATGTATTGTTTCTTGTAGTGAAAATACAAACCTACTTCTGCCAAAAATAATTACAGGAAGGAGTTGTGGGAAGCTCAGCAGATCTGAAAGTCCAAGTTTGGTGTTTCCTTTCTGCATTTTTTTAATGGCACTATACTAACTCTAGGGGTTTTAGAAGAGTGCAAGTGAACTTTTGACTAAGGCATAGCAGTGAAAATTGGGAAGTCTTGTTCTGTGTAGACTTAGATGACTTCAAGAAAATAGTTTATTTGCCTTATTTGATCAATGGAATCAACATTGGTAGTGGCAATGAGGTCTCATTCTTTAATATTCTAGAAGTGAAAGGCATGGAAAGTACTACTTACAGATCAGATCTGAGTCTGTCTCAGATCTACTTAGTTCTTACAGTCATCTACCTAAGAGTTACTATTAGAATATGAAAAAAAATTGTGACAGATTAAACCATATGAAATTCTTTAATTTTGTTTTCTCCACTTCAGGCTCTTGGTATGACATCTTCCCAGGACAGAGCAATCATTAAAAAAAAGCTAAAGGAAATGAAAGCATCCTTGGAGAAGGCTCGCAAAGCTCAAGAGAAAATGGAAAAGCAAAGGGAAAAGCTTCGGAAGAAGGAACAAGAGCAACTGCAGAGGAGATCGAAGAAAACAGACAAGTGCTCATCAGATGCAACAGAGGGCACTAATGAGCAGTGATAAGGAGAAGTGCGGCTGTGTTCAGAAAGTGGAGGCACGTCAAGGGAAGAGGAACTCATATCCACTGGTGCCCCTTCAGCTTTGTTGTATTCATCACCCAAGATCGTGTACAGAGAAATGGGGCTATACATAGAATGACTAGGGAAATTTATATTGTGTAGCTTTCTTTTCCCGCATATCCAGTTCACGCTTGTTGTTGTTGCCACGTGAAACAACCCCAGCCCTTCGGTTTGTTTTGTTCTTGCTGACAGCTAACAGATTTCATATTTGTGTGGTGGTGTTTCCTTCCAAACTACTCTTCTCTATTGAGCTGTGTGTGTTTGGTCACTTCAATAACCAGCATGATGCCAAGGAGCATGGTCCATTGCTTCACCTCTTCTGAATAGGATGGCCAGTCAATATAATTGGTGAACATTTCTTCAGCTGGGTAAAAGGAGTTGTGCTCTGTCTGATAAGACTTGACTTCACTTTCTAACTGGAAGTTCACCTTCTTTACAGTGTTTGGATACTCAGTTCCATCTGCTGGAGTAAATTTCATCCTGTGTCAGTAACTTTAAGCGACACTGCTCGGGAAACACAACTGTTCAGTGACTTCTTATACACTGGAGATAAGACAGGAGAGTCAATATTCCCCCTGGGTAAAAGACAGGAGGTGAAACTCTTTCTGTTAACTGTACAATAGTTAATCCAGGAAGGAGGCAAAGCCTTAAATGGTTATGTGGGTTTACACAGAAATCTGAGGATAACATTTATCCTTTAGATATCTGAGCAAGGATAAATTTCTAACTAGAGCACAGCGTATATATCTGTATAAATTTCATTGTGCTCCCCGTGTGTAGGCAACTTTCTTATAGCACACTCCACTTTCTTTTTCATGTGTTTTGAACAGGAAACTAGGTTTATTTTGTTTTGAGGTTTTGGGGTTTTTTTCTAGGAAAAACACCACATCTTCAGATTCATTCTCCAACAAGCATTGGAAGAATAAGCTTTGTGCTCTGCTATTATGAAGCTGTTGTTAGAAACAATTATCCGACTTGAGTCTGCTAAAGATTTCTATTTTTTACAGAACTGCACTTTAAAAAGAGGAAAACGAGTGATTCTGGTTAAAATTAAATTCAGTACATTGCTTTTAAGGTCAGTGCTACCATGGAGATGATGGTTACTAAGTCCAAAGCTCCCACATTTTAACTGCTTTGATTGATGTGTTTAAAGAATATCCCCACCAATACCTGTATTTTGGGGCATTGGCTGTAGAATGCTGGCTTAGCAGTGGTCATATTATATCTTTCAGAGATTCCCGTGGTGCGTGAGGCCATCGGTGAAGCCTGCTTTGTAGTTTTGACTATGACAAACAGAAGCAGTGTAGGGTGTTACTGCCTCTTAAGAGCAGTATTAAACTATACAGTATTTCTTCAAAAGAATGGGGAGACAACAGGCAAATCACAATGAGAAGCTGGGGGTATTAGCTTTACAGTTGAAGCTAACGATGTAGCAGTTGAGAAGCGCCACTTCCCATTCATGCATCCTGGAAGTGGCAGTCTTCATCTGGTTTTGCCAACCCATATATTGTTTTAGATGGTGATGCAAAGTTAGAATCTTGAACTTAAAAACATACCAGCCTGAAATTGCAAATACCGAGTTCTTTTGAAGAAAATGTCTGTTTTAGTTTGGCTTGGCTTCTCTTCTGCTCTCTGCAGCATTCAGATTTGTTTCTGCAAAGTTCTCTGAAGCTCAGGTTTGAAACACTTGGGGTGCACTGCTTATAGTTACATTTCTTTTGATTCTAATCATTTCTTTGACATATAAAATGGTCTATAAACTGAGAGAGTGTAGTTCATTTAAAATTAATACACAGCAGATCTACTTAGCATTAGCTTTATTTTTCCTTCCAAATCCAATTTCTACAGGTTTTTGATGTATATTTTATTCAGCTCTAAAACTGAAATTGCCATAAAAGATACTTTCTGATATTTCTGAAGGCTTGCAGTATTTTTCTTGAGATAGACCACTGGCAGAAAAATACACCTGCTAACAAAAATTACACATTGCAGTAAATCTTTCTGTGCTCTTTATAGGAGAAAAATTATACAAATGTTTAACAGCCTCATAAAACTAGCATTCTTTGAGTAAGAGAAGTTATCTGGAAGAAACTGGAAATTTAATCTCTTAAATACAATGTTGATAAATGCATTTGATGATGATTTTCTTTTTAAGTTATGTTTACACTGTAGTAATGTTTAAGTGGTTGTATATAGTAATCTCAGGTGGTGTCCCCATTTTATGTTCTTTGTTTTCTTAGAAACCTGAGCAGACTGCTTGACTGAGTTTTCATTTTTGCTGCTTAGAACAGTGCCTAGTTAATCTCTTTGTAAATTGTGTTCTTATTCTGCAGAATAACTAATTCGACTTAAGTCCTTTAAGTATTCAGGGGATTTTTACTGCTTTGTGATAATGTAATTTTGTTATTCTCAGACTACAAGAAACAAAAACAAAAACCCAACTTAAAAAAATAGTAGCTTAAATTTCAAATAAAACTATTAAAATGCATTTTGATCAACATGTGAAAACTAAGCAAACAGAACAATGTCAAGAATTTTGCTCTTCTTTCTGTGATAAAAGAGATTTATGTGGTTCCTTTTATTAAATATGGCAACTCGATCTTGGGATGCGTAGAAATGTCACTGGATAACAGACATAAAGCATAGTTTGAAACTTTTCTTGCTGTTCTACAGGATCTTTAAAATTGTGTTGCATTTTTTCCCCTTGTATTGTGTAATGACATATGAAACAAAAGATGGATGTCTCATCATTCTTAACCCAAACTTCCTGTAAACCAGTGCTAAGTCAGAGTAATATGCGGTTTGATGTAATAAGAAGAAACAAATTTCTGGGCTAAATGACTTGGCAGACTTTCTCATTTGGCTCACCTGCAGGTGTACTTGTTGCCTACTTTGTGTATTTATTTCTGGAGCTAAAGCTGTTTTGATTAGTCTGACTTGCCTGGCCACCATTAAACTGCTGTGCAGGCAGCATGGTGTTTCCATGCGCTTGTGTCATCATTACACCCAGGTAACCACAGCAGGCTGATGAAGTTATTTGCTCTCTGGTTTGGGTGGTAGGCCAGTTCTGTAAACTCTAGTTTCTGCTCATTGCTGCAGTATTGCCAGGTTGTGAATATATTGAGCCTCTAAAAAGGTGAAGAAAGGACAGTTAGCAAAAAATGAAACTCAGAAAGACAAAATAAAAGATACAACACTGCAAGTTACTTTAGTCCGGAAAAATCTATTATTATACTGACATTGTGAAGGAAGTTGTACCTCCTTGCTCTGTTCAAATCACCCAAATATACTGACATTAGTTTCCGTGTGGTGGGTTCCTGCACCCATGCAACTTCCATGTCAAAACTCCCAATTTAGTTTCAGTCTGCCTAGGGAGATCAGGACCAGGGTGTAAGGAAGGAGCAGAGCTCGTTCATTGCAGTGCACAGCGATTGCCCACTGCTGTTTGCACTTCACCCCCTGCTCTGAGCAGGTGGGGTGGGAGTTATTGTAAGTGGGGCTAGTTCTAGATCATGGGTTAGAATTGCACAGTGGAACAGAAGCCAGTAATAAAAAGCCAGGCAGAGTTGGCTTGTATTTCAGTGTATTTCAGTGTATACAAATTTGTATTTCAGTGTATACAAATACTTTTGTATTTTTTTAACTTCTTAAATTTTTTTTCCAATGGCATCTGTTGTGCTGTGACTGTAGTCTGCTGCAGGGATACTACAAGAATCGAGCTTCACTAGAATTACTGAGCAGCTTTCCTTTGAAACTTGCCAGCCCTCAGCTCTCATTAACGCTGAGCATTAGGGTTGTGTTTGATGCTGAGCATTAGGGTTCCTCATACTTTATTGCTTCCATCAAGGCCTCCTCTCCTCCTGAGCTGCTCCACCTTCACCTCCTGGCTCACAGACTGGCAAGTAAGAGGTGGGCAATGATATATCATTTTTGAGAATTAATTGTGTTTCACTTCTAAGAGAAAGAATGCCACTTGCTAATAGTGCAGAATCCATTTCTACAGTAGTAAGGAAGAGGATCCTCATTTACTTGAGTGCCTGTATTCTAGGAAGGAATTTTCTGCTTTTAATCCCAACTTTGATTTCTATTGTAGCGCTTTCAGCAGTTTGTTTTTGAGCAGGATAACAGGTGTCACGCGAGGCAACTTGCCCGCTCACCACAGGGGAGTGTGGGTCATCTGCACATAGCACAGTCCCTTTTGTTAGCCTCCTCTATGGATTTCACTGTACCTTTTCCACCTCTAAAACTGATTTTTCAAAGCTGTGACACCTTAGTCATGACACTGAGCCCTCCAATCCCTCAGTATAAAATGGGCTTTCTGCTCCTAACCAGCCGTACTAACTGGTACTTCTGCTCTCAGCATTAAGTAATTATTTTAAAAATGCACATCTTACAGAAAGGTTTGGCTGTAGTGCCTTGGGCTGCCTGTTTCTCTGGGAAGAGAGGACTGTGTTAAGAACAAGCTGTACGGTTTGTGAAACTTGCAGCGTTAGGCGGGTCTCTTCTTCCAGAGAGGTGAGGAGGGCTCACAGTTCATGAGATCAGATCCAACCCACATAAACCAGGACCCTGGGCCTCCTGATGGGTTTCCAGTGGGAGGTTTGCTGCTGACACTGGTGGAAGTGGATTTGGGCCCCAATGTAGAAATGTCTGAAGGAAAGGGAGATCACAGGACACCAGACATAAGGAATAACCAGCCTGTTTGGAAGTGGAGAGTGCACAGTGAACCTCTTCTGACTGTACTTTCCCATATATATTTACTGTCTGAACAACTGCTTTCATATTTCCCAGTCATGTTGTGATGGTATCTCACTGGTCACTGACATGTGTTACACATATTGCTAGAAGACCAGGCAGCTAAAAGACTAAAATGCACTGTGCTAACTGTAAAAATTGGCTTCTTACATTGTTTCTTTTTATATGGTTAAAGAGATGGTTGCGCTCCAGATTTTTTCATTTTTCTTGTCTTTTTTTAAAGAGATCAAATGTATATGAAGTGCATGTTATCCTGAACTTTTTGTTTGTACATGTTGATGTCTGATCACCTGCATGAAGGACACAGTAGTGCCATGTCTGAGCTTGTTCTCTTGTGCTTGGTTGATATGAACTTCTCTAGATTGTTGAGTTTTCCCCAAGATAACTTTGGTTAATATTTAGTTATTGGGAGACATCAAAACAAAACATCATGGTGGCCCTTTGTTTTCTTACAGTTTAAATACAAACAAGAAAGCCTTGTGGTTTAATTTGTTAGTGTAAATAAATTTCTTGCCAATGAGTATTATTGTTGTTAGACAACGAATGCAATAAAATGAGAAATCCTGAATCTTTATTAGAATTTGTATCGAGTCCTCACTTTTCTGACCATTTGTTGGTCATTCCAGAAGAAATATTAAATGGTGAGCACAACTGGACAGCTGCATGGGCCAGACTGGGGGTGGGGTTGGATATGGACCTTGCCCTGCTTGTTCTTTCCTTCCTTCTGCTCAGCCAAAGATTATTTTAATCCTAGCTCATGGCCAAATTGGCATGATTCACAGGCCTCCAAGTGGGTCTCATTTACAATCTGTAATTATGTGAAAAGAAGTGAAAAAAAAAAAAAGAGTAAGGAAAGAGAATTACTCTTTTTTTTCATATGCCAATGAAATGTAGAGTGCAATCTTTTGCTGCAGGTTGATGTAAAAATAGGCTACTTTCACACTGATGCTGGTCACTGTTTGTTTAAAAGACTTGAATTAGTTTTGGTATATAAAAAAATTTACCGTTTTATATTTAAGTGTAGCTTAGTTACAACAGGCACTTTATATACTCAAAGTACAGCAGTTCTTCTACTGAACATATTTAATATGTCTTTATTTATTTGATTTTAGTAGAGGATTAAATAAAGGAAAAGCAGAGGGTGCAGACTGTCCAATTTGTGTAGTCATTTCAGTGGATTTACATCTGGCAGAATCTAGGCCAAATACTCTGCACTTAATCTGCTTAACCCAGTTTGCGTTTCCCAACAAGTGAATCATAAACCTTACTTTCTGCTAATATGGCCACCACCTGCAAGAAGATAAAAAGAATCCTCAATCCATAAAATTATTATCTTAATTAAAGGAGATATACTAAGAGGCTCCAAGTCCACAATTGACATGTAAAATGTGTCTCCTCAACAGCTTCCTAAGCCATCTATACATACATTTTTCTTGTCTGTGCAAGTTGTCCCAGCTGCAGTTTGATTTCTGAAATACCCAGAACTGCTCCAGTCTCTACAGCTTGTTAAAGATCATGTGTTATACCCTCCTCCAGGTTACAAGCATGTATTTTCCCTATGCAGGTTACGTTGTGATTGAGAGGCCAGGCTTGAGCTGCATCTTCCACCACTGCTGTTTCTGCACTGAGGCCTCCAGTGCGTTTATGAAGTGGTGATGTCATGCCAAGAGGTAGAAGCTGTACCCCACTATGGCTCTTGCTGTCTCTGTCCTGCTCAGCATCACTTGAATGAACGGTGGCCCAGCTTCAATTCCCGCCTCTGCACTGCAAGGCTGGGGTACCTATAGAGAAGGTTGGCAATGGGCTTCCAGTCGTCCTCACCTCAGGTTAAAATTCAAAATGTTACATCAAGTACCTACAATCTCTCTCCTCTCAAATGTTGTGAGAAAAGATAAGGCACATCGCTTGCCTATGCCTCAGTCTGCAGGCAGACCAATGGGAAAGCCTTCAGCACAGGAGTCGTTTAGAACAGAAAAAAAAGCCAGTGATGAGTGAAGACAATCTTTATTTTCTGAAAGGCTAAAACCAACAAAAAAGTAAAAGTTTGACAAGATCCAACAATGTGTGGATTTGCTTATTTGAAGATGTTTTAAGCCACTGTAAAATTTGAAGTTAATGTTTTTATGGGTTACTTCTGCCACTGCTGAGGGAAATGGTTATTGCATTTCTACAAACACAGAGTAAATCCAGGACCAGCAGAGTGGCTGATCAGCATTTCAGTGTGTTACTGCCACTAATGCATGATATAACTCTTTAGATGGCACTTTAGAACAAATAGTAGCACAATCCTAAAATAACCGCTTTAGAATGCTTGTGCAGACTGTTGATGGCTAATCATGAACAAGTTAATAGCCCAACCTCTCATTGCTGTGTGAACTTTCTTCAGAGCAGTCCTTTCAGCTTGGGCTCTGGGAATGACATCTGTTCCTCAAGACTGAAAATGGATTACATGTTCCTGTAGGAAAGTACACCACTTCCAAGGGAAGCTGAAAGTGTCCCGCAGGGAGAGAAGTTGCTAAGGAGCAAGCAGCAAAGCCAGGGTTAGGTAATGCCAAAGGCAAGTACAGCAAAGGGATGAGATAAAAGCCGCCCTCATTCAAGGCCAGCTCTGCTCTGTGGCAGGGCTGCACGCCATGGTCAGCAAGATTCAAAACTGTGATCCAAATGGTTGAGTCCTTGTCACCAAAGCCTTTGTGAGCAGACAGTGAAGCCTGGGCAGCCCTCAAGTCTGCAGATCAACTGTGAGCATTTTGGAGAGGAGCTGTGAACGCAGTTTGTGCACAGACCTGCTAATGCAGGGCCACCACCAAGAGACAAGTCAATTAGCCACGTGGTTAACTAATGCTCAAGTCTCCCCTTCTGGCCATCGGTAACCCCCGCAGCATGTGCCATTTGTACTGG